TGGGATCTGAATAAATTTTGGTGAACAAGAGCAAAAATAAATAAGTAACATTTTGTGTGTAAAACAGAGGAGAATAAGGTAAATATAAGGAGAAAAAAAATCTCTTAGCTAAAAAAATACAGTCACACAGGTTGTTACAAATAAATCATATTTCTGAAATACATTATATTTAATAGATCAGCTGACAATCACAAGTCTCACAAAAAAGGAAAAAGAAGCAGAATGTGGCAGTGCTTTTTCATTAACCCATTAATTAATTCAATTAGTGAGAATGTGAGTTTTCCTAGTAAAAAAAAGAATTTTCTTCCTTTTAAATCTTTCAGTGTGAATCTTTACTGTGTGGGGTATGTGTCTGCAATGTTAGGATACATCACTTATACATCACTCCACCCTCCATGTCAATGACAAGTAGTCAACAAAACTTCTTTACTGGGGACAATAAAAGTCACCAATACAGGCCATATGCATAGTGCTATTTATTACTACAAGAAAAACTTTCTCCTGGCTGATTTGACTTTCAGTAAGAAACATAGACAGTGCAACTTTGGTATATTGGCCTGAATTCAGCCATGGAAACTAACACAGTGACACAATTGAGACAGTTCATTATGAAGCCACAACAATAGTCACTGAACACCAGTTCATGCCACATAGGATGTTGTGATAATGTCACAAATAAAATGCATTTTCAAAACACATATTTTTAAAAATATAAAACAACTTAGTCATAATTTAAGGAAATATCTGAATAAATGAGTACATTATTTTAAGCTATTGAGATTACATAAAAGTGATATACAAATAAATTAGAGATGGCTATCTATGGTGCTGTAGTAGGGAGCTTCAGCTTCATTCTCCACTTTTTTCTGGGACTGAGAAACAAAAGATGAAATTTGTCCTCTTGGTCCTAATTTATGACAATGCTACTGAGATGAGCTGTATCATTTGCCTAAAATCATTACTGCCATTCAAAATAAATCAGAAAACTTAATTTTCCATTTTTTGTAAAACATTAGCTCCTAGAATGATTATATGAGTCTTATATGCAGAAAAAGTCTATAGGTCTCATTCCAGAATATAATTACAAGCAAAAAGAAAAAATCTGTATTTAAAATCTAAACAAAAATGTTTACATTAGAATAATTGATCTAAAAATATTCGTTTTATTGGAGGAACAGGTAAAGATATAGAACCACAAATCTTTAAAACTTAAAAAAGAAAATTTAAAACTGTGTTAACATCTGATTTAGGTTTGTACCCACTTTTTATTTTGTGATGCCCTGCTTGTATATAAAGCTTTTCCTTTCATCTAAATAATGAATGCTACTGTGGTAAAGACAACCATAGTTGTCTCACCTTCAAACTACTCAACTATAAAACTTTCACCAGCTTTATTAATATTTATGGATTTTCTTGAATCATTATACAAATGAATTTGAGATAAATATATTAGAATAATATAAGTGAGGTTGGACCATCTGTTTATTAAAATAATATAAGTGAGGTTGAGCCATCTGTCCAACCTCACTTAATATTATTCTAATATATTTATCTCAAATTCATTTGTATAATGATTCAAGAAAAATCCATAAATATTAACAAAGCTGGTGAAAGGTATGTTTTACTAAAGATGTTAACAAGTTATTATGTCACTATGACGTTATAAAAAATATCCTGGTCCCAAATGATTAAGCTATATTAAATCATTATAAATAATATGACTAATTAAATTAACATATTTTCAAGTCTAAGAGCCTCTTGATTAATTTCAGGTATCCAAAATATAGCTCTCTCTGATCACGAGGTTTTGAGGAGCGTGGAACCACCTGTTAATTGCTGGTGTTCCCAGGTCCACTCTGACCAGGGGTGGTAGCACCTGTTAGGGTCCCAGCTATGAGCAAATAGTTAACTATTACCAGCAATACTTTTTTGAAAAAAATTATTACCAGCAATACAATTTTGAAGGAAAAATATTACCAGAAACAGATTTTTGACAAAACAAAATATTACCAGCAATAAAATTTTTGTCAGCATTAAATAACCCATTGAGGTTTATATACCGTAAAACAAAATAAACCTAACCAATCTAAACCAAAAAATACATACTCTATTCATACGAATCTATCCTAAAAATGTTGTCGGCATTAAATAACCCATTGAGGTTGATATGCCATTAAACAAAATAAACCAAACCAATCTAAACCAAAACAGGGCTCTGAATATCTGTCTGAAATCTTTGGTCAGGAAATCTGGCTTTGAAGATCAAGTTGAATTCTGAAATCAAAGCAAATCCCTAGTCTATGGAAGGTGTCAGCTGTAGGCCGTGTTTACAAGAATGCAGGTGAATACTCATTCCTGTCATAATAACACCCCATCAATCACATTAGTGATACCAGCAAACTTTTGAGTCTATCATCAACAAGAAAGTTGTTGATCACCTCAACAAAAATAACCTCCTGAGCAATAAGCAGTATGGATTTTGCTCCTCGAGGTCCATTGTTGATATCATTACACATAGAATAAATGAAGGTGCTTGATAATAAATTCATTATAAGAGCGATTGCCTTAGATATCTCAAAGGCTTTTGACAAGTTGTTGCATAGGAAGTTGCTACATAAATACTCCAGCTATGGCATCTATGGAAGAGCCTTCTATCAGGAAGGTCCATTAAAATTGTTAATGGTCAGACCTCTGTAGCCCATGGGATCAATGCAGGTGTCCCTCAAGGCTCTCTTTTTGGTCTGAGTTTCTTTCTGCTTTATACTAATGATCTGCTTAAAAACAGATCATTAGTAAATATATATGCAGATCACACCATAGTTTATGTGTACACCTCCAAAAATCCAGATGACCAGAGTTTAGCAGCTGATCTCTTTTCTAACCTACCCATCACAGCTAAATAGGGGAAATATTGGCTTGTATTATTCAATACCTCCAAAACAAAGCTAGTAATGTTTTATCATCACTGAATATACCCTGAATTTTCTCCATTGCTGATGAATGGTTGTACTCTCAATGAGCCTCCTGGCCTTGTATGTCTATTGGGACTCAAGTTCATTCCAGACCTTAAGTGGAACTAATAAATACAAACCATCATTAAAGATGATAGAAAAAAGGTCAGCTGCTTTCAACTGTTATCTATTCTACATATCCTCATAATATGCATTTCTTATTTTTTCCCTTTATAATCTTATAACAACCTTCTACCTTGGGTGACTCATGGGCTTTGTAGTCAGTGAACAATAATATAAAAAATTGTTTTTTTTCTTTTTTATCCAAAATGCTTGATGAGCAGTTTTTGAAATGTAATGCAAGAAAACAAAAGCAAAAGAACTATTAAAAGAAAAAAACAAGTTCAAACAGAATTATCCCAAAAGATATATGAAAATTTTCAATATCAGAATCATGAGTCTGGCAGTTGTTCAGTAGTCAGTTGTACACAGTAAAAGAAACATGACACTTGCATCTACATCAGCATTTCAGCTGTTGTACCTTCCAGCCTTCATCAAGTGTATATTGATCTGAGTAGCCTACAGGGAATTCTGAAATGAACTCTTTATTCAATCTATGGGGATAGACTGTTCGCATTCCATTTCCCATGTCTAGGGATATCATATTTTCTTATTTTTTAGTACTGCTTAGTTATTGCTCACCTGCTTCCACTGAGTCCAAGTACAGACTGCTGGGCCCAGAGAGTGAACTTATAACTACTAAGTCAACTACCATTTCATTAGTGAAATATATCTGTTAAATAAGAAAAGAAACTGAGCATTAAATTGATTAAGTAAACATGCTTACTTATATTAATGGAGAGCTGGTGGACTTAGAGGGGGTGCTGGATGGATAGTCCACTCTAGGCAGCAAGTTTTTTTTGGGGGGGGGGATTTAGGTGAGTAAGTATAATGAAGTAGTTTGCTGTTGCAATAAAGTAGATATTGTCCAGTTTTGGAATGCTGTTTAGAGTGATGGCACATTCTCTGACCACTCCAAGCAGCACAAATGCTTCCTTTAATTTTTTGTGTTTAGAAGCAGGAAAGGTTCTCCCTTAATAATCAATGGAAGAAACAAATTTTTTTTTTTTACAATTATAATGTTTTTGCAATTGATATAATCACAGCTGAAATAGCTAAATGTAACTGCAAGTGTTATGCTAACATTTTTTATCTCACACTTTTCGTTAATAGAATACACCTCTGGCTTAATGCATTCCAGTCAACTTTGATTTTCAAACATTTAAATGCAATATCAATCATTATCTTCTTAATTCTTATTCTTTTATTGTTCTCTCTCCTTAATAATGTGTTTTTCTCATATTCTCTCACATTCAGTAACCTTTTGCATCTTAGTGGTTTTATTGCCTTGCTTGGGATAAATGATTAAAAATATATATATTTTATTTTTATATATAACAATTTTCTGATTAAAATAAAGAAATAATTTCACAGCAAAAATTAGACTGTTATTCTTGATTTGGCTTCATTTATATTTATTTTATTTACCAATAAATGTGAAAGAAAGTAAAATTACTGTATTTGTTTCGAAGCAAACAAACATTTGTGTCACGTTGGTGCTGCCGTAAAATATAGCTTTTTCGATTTCGTCTATTGTCGTCATAACTTCAAAATAGGCTATTTTTCGGTGTCAAGAGTCAGCAATTTTTTTCACGTTTTAATTTACTGTTTCGAATTTTTTGTAATTATTTTAAATTTTTAACTCAGATTTTATCAAATAATCAAAGAAAATGAATTAAATTGAATTTTTTTTTATATCACGTCAAACACGATGCGACGAGATTTTGATTTCATTACGCCGAGAACTGGAGCCTCAAATATCAGCCTATCAGCGTCAGTAGATCCTGAGCTTCCTTCTTTCAAGTTTGTCTCTCGCCCAAGTCGGTTTAATACTTCCGAGTCTCTTGACTTAAAAAAAAAAAAATCAAAATGTATGGTCGAAGGCCTCAACAAAGTAGAGGTTATGATGAGAGTGGTAATTCAATGTTTATGACAATTTCCTCCTCCAGTGTAGGAGCTATTATTGGTAAGTTATCTATTTTTTTTTTATTTTTTTTATTATATTTATTTTTTTCCAATTCTGACAAAAAAAAGATTTAATCAGAACTCTGAAATTCTGCTGATAAGTGTTCTTAATGTTGCGCGGTTAATAGCTGCATAATTTTAAATACCTCTTAAAAGTCGCTATATCTAAATATGAGATAGCCGTACGCCTAAGTAATTCGGATTAGTTTAATGACTCCGACATTTTCTATTCAGTGTCTATGCATCTCGGCCATCTTGAAAAATTTCATTTTTAGTAGAAATCTCTTATCGCTGAAATTTTATAAACTCAAAACTCTCTCAACGTTTGTTTTGTAAGTCTTACCGCTAATACTTTGCATAAAAAGAAAAAACGCCTGAAGTATTTTTTTTTTTTTTTGTCCTAGTTCCCCCCCCTTCCCTTCGCGCTTTATCAGGTTTGAGCATTTAAAAAATTTTTTTTTTTTTTGCTCAGTTATAACTCTTACTAAGAATTATAAATTTTGCTATCAAATTATCACTTAAATAAATTGATTCAAAATTGCTTTCGTTAAGCAAAGTTACCTAACGTAAAATATGAGTAAATTTAGTCATTTACTGTACATGAATTGCGCATCTCCCAGCCAATTTACGCCGTCGGTAAAAACTCAGCGGGGGGGGGGTACACTGTAATTTTGTATTTTATTTCAAAATGAGATTAATTTGATCACAAAACAAAAACTGCTAAATGTTATTACTGAACTTAGTCAATTGTATTTTCTCTTGCAAAGTCATTGGTTCATTCTCAAGTTTTCCTCTACTTGACCCCGCGCTTAGTTAAGTACGAGTTTTGATTGGCTGTAGCGAAATGTTGTTCGCCAATCAACGGTTAGTATTCATACTCCATTTAAAGTTGGCTCTGATCGAAAAGAAACTGAAAATGGCGATTTGCTATTTTTTCCGCTTCTCTTCAAACTTTTTTTTTTTTTTTTTTTTTTCTTAGAATAGATTATTTCGAGGGGTGTGGAATTTCACTTAAAGCTTTAGAATCTCTTTCTGTACGCGTGACTAGCCTTAGATTTAAGATGCGAGCGATTAACCATCTTGGTTTGAGAATAAATGTTATTTAATTCAATCGGTTTAATTTTAAATCCCCCCCTCTTTCTCAGTCCGAGGACTTAAAAAAATCATGAATTACGGAAAACTCTTGGACTTAAAATTTTAAAATCGGAATTACCCACCCAGTTTGCTTAAAATTAAACGCCCGTGAACGTTCTGTAGTGGGATTCTCTTTGTAATCTACCGATGTCCGTATTGTATAACAAATACTTTCGTTTTAATCTTAATCTAAATCTTAACTACTTAAATATTGCCAAATTTAATCTTGCATTCTGATACGGAGCTTTTAACTCAATATTTCCAGCTAAATATTAAATTCCCAAACAGTATCTTGTGAACTCGTTGAATATTACTTTGAAGTATAACTGGATTCCTTACTATTTAAAAGTAGTTGATTTTGACGCATCTAAACGTAAGTCTGGATAAAGAGGCGACTTTTGTTCGCGTAGCTGCGGTACACTGAAGATTGAAGTTTTCATAGACTTGCTGGATAGAATACGCCATTTTGTAAACTGGCTGAAATTTAAAAGCAGTTTTAATTTTAATTGCGTATTCAAAAATGGACCGTAATTCAGTAGTGAATTACATGAGTCGAATACATTAACCTATATTTATCAGCAGCCAAGAGATTTATAGCGAGAAATTAAAACTCTTGGAAAATTCTAGATTTTCTCTCCGAAGGATTATTGAAGGGTTTAGGTCTTAAGTAATATTGCGGATGATAAAAAGCATTTCCCTGGCAAGTTAGAAGCTTTAATGCAGAAAACTTTTACATGTTAAAACATCAACATTGTCATAAGACCTAGTTCTAAACAACGAAGTTTTAAAAAATTTTGTTAATGGATCGTATTCGTTTGAATAAGTGTAGAGGTTTACAACTTTCTTTCTCCCCCCTCTCTCTCTCTCTCTCTGCCTAAAAGCTTCGAACGCAGATAGGCATTTCAAATCGCGAATAAAGTTAAATATTCATGACGTTCAATTTCCTATGCAAACTCATACTGCGTGGTTCCCTAATATATAATTTATACTTGTAATCTGAGGTGCATAATTTTTCTCATGAAAACGAATTCGTTTTTTTTTTTTTTTTTTATCTTAGATCGTATGTTTTAGCGTCCTTATTGGTATCAATTTACATAGCTAACTGGACTCGATATTTGGGAACCACGCAGTATGAGAATTTTTATTGATTAGCATAAATAGGCATCTTGGTCGCTACAAAATTAATACAGAATTTTAAGTTTAAAATTTTTCTAAAACAAAACTGTCCTTTTTTTTATATATATATATATATATATATATATATATATATATATATATATATATATATATATATATATATATATATATATATATTCTGGTCCGCAAATTTCCCAAACTATCCTACTTGACCAGAAATTAAAATTCTAATTCCTTTGCCTTAGGGCAAATATAAACTACAACATTTGAGCAATTAAAAATCTCTACAAATGTCATCAAATTAGTGTACAAACATAAAAAAAAAATAAGCTTTCAAATGTTACTTCCTTTTTTTTTTTTTTTTTTTTTTTTTTTTTTTTTTATTGCGACATCAGTTGAAAATCAAGTTTAGTTACAAGCAAAAAAATTTTTCTTTTTTCTTTTAGGCAGAAAAGGTTCAAGGATCCGTGAGATGGAGCAGAACTCTGGAGCCCGTATCAAGGTATAAAGTCATATTGGCTGCCGAGCCACGGTTTGTCTGGGACAGGTAACTCCTCCGGATATGGATTGTCACTCAGCGCTTGTCCAACAGGACAGGTAACGGTTCTTTTAAGTATTATTATTCAGAAATGCCAACCACTTTCGATAGTTTTTCTTTGTAGTCAATGAGATGTTTTCTTATGCCCATTGTCCACTTGTACTGCATTAATTTACCATTTTTCATTTCAAACTGGCTTCTCAAAAAATGTCTTAACTGTAATTGATTTTAGGCTTTGTAGCTTTTTGCTTCACATTTGATTTAGCAAATGAACCTATAATTGACATCTATTTGGATAGTTATTGTAAATTTTTTTTTTTTTTTTTTTTTTTCTTTTAATCTAATTGGAACTTGGATAAAAAATGCATTTTGCTGTTGGCATTTTGTTTGTTAATGATTGTCAATCAAGATTGTTTTGTGCAATTTTTCTTACAAATGTGAAAGGTTTTTGACAATTCCTTAAATTGTAATCTCAGTTTAAGTTTGGCTCCTCATTTTTTTCCGCGCCACTTGATGTTTGTCGGTCATCTTGTGAAATTAATTTAACAGATTGAACAAAAGTGGGTACGAAAATTTTTCAATCTCTTCATATATTAAAGAGATAACGTAGGGGTTAGCATTCCGTTTTTTTCCTTTTTTGCATTTCCTTTAATTTGGATATTTTATCTAAGTTAATATCACTGAAATAATTTGCATTTAAGATTTTCTTTCAGTATAATCTTGCATAAAAGAACGTCTCGCAAAGTAACGGTGGCTAGTATAAAGTTTGCTGCTCATCAAGGATGTGTCCAGTTAATATTAAGTTGCAATAGGTATTGTTAATTTCCAAAAAAGAGCAAATTTTTAAATTCTTTCCTTAAATGGATCCTTGAAAGTTATTGGTAGCATTAAAAAGTCAAATGTAGGTAAAAAAAAAAAGTTGGGGATAGCTGAAGTATGTATAGCCATAAAAAAAAACGCAAAACGGCCACCTTCATTGCTCACTAAAACTCCATTGGAATCAAATCTTAGTGGGGGTACTGAACTCAAACATTACCTAATCGAATTTTTGGCTTTGTTATACCACAAATATGTATAACTTTTTTCCAATATAGTAATTTTAAGAATTCCCATTATTGAGCTTCTAAAAGATTTGTCAGAATAAATAAAGGCTTGTACAACTGACCAGCTATAATCCTGTTAGTTTTTTACTTATTCCCTCCCCCATTCTATAGCTTTGAGCTTTTAACTGTCAATAGTTTTAAGCCAAATGATTAATTCTTATACCCTCCCACTTCATCCAAGATACAACCACTGAAATATTGTGAACCTGTAGTTGATATCCCTACTGTAACCAGTTACGTAATTTTTTTTTTCCTCATCTCTCCTTACTCTTGGAAATTTATCTTAAATTTGGCCTATTTATCTTTGAAGTAGGGAAGAAGTCGACTTGCACAACACTCTATAAATTTGCAAAAACACAATCTGAATTTTTTAATCTGGGGCATATTTAGATATCTTTAATTGATATGCCAACATTTTACAAACTAGCTTTTTAATAAATTCATGAAATTTTGAAGGTGATTAGTTGATATTTTTTCTTTTTGGTTGAAAATAGTTCATTGGAGGTATGTACACACATTGGCCGTCTCTAATACTGGAGGAAAACTTTGTGCAGTTTTGCTGAATTTGATAATCTTGTTAATGGTGGTTTTCAATTGGAATGCTTGCTTAAACTTCTGGAAAACTAGGAATCTTGCTTGAAACACTTTTTTTTTTTTTTTTTTTTTTTTTATAAATTTTTCCACTTTTTTGCTGAGAAGACTTGATTGCTTGAAAATGTACTTGAAAAAGGATGCTGAAGTTTGTAAATAATGCTGGTAACTGGATAATGGAATAATTTTATATATATATATATATGTAAAAAAAAAAAAACAAAAACAAAACGCTGAGTATTACAGTCTTTAAAATACTTTATTTGTAGACCATTGAATGTTTTGGCAATGTTCTTGTTACTGACTTTCCTGCAAGACTGATTTTATTCCGTTTAAATGGTATGCTGATTACTATATGCCATCTTTACTTTAATGGTTATCTGAAATCCCGAGTTACATTTTGGCGGTTATCTGCATTGGGGGAACTAACTGATAACTGCAACGGTTAATAACGTGTCAGTTTTAAGCTATCCACTGGAATCTGACTTTAAGACGGCTTGTGGGACAGATTTCAATGGCAGAACCTTTTTGATGGCATTGACTAATGTGCAACCTGAATCATAAGACTTGAAACATCAGGATATTGAGTGAACTTTATGCCTAAGCCATGTTTGAACAGTAGATGAAAAAGGTCATGTCTCCGTACCCATTGAAGGTAGCTGCTACACAGCTGCAGTGTTGGTGTCGAAAATAGTGAATCGATTTGAATTAGATTATTCACTTGGTAGAAAAGAATGTGACTTGTATTAATGTCCATGTGCAATGACCTGATGAACAGTAACATTTGAAACAATCTGCTGGTGGCTTGAAATTGAGGGGAAAAGGAGAGGCATTAGTGTACCACCTGAAAGGCTTGTTTAAAATGCCATTTTGTACACAAAGTAAATGCCCAAACATTTTAAAGGCAACATTGGCTTGCATTTTACTTGTATGAAATGTAAGATTAATATGTAACCTAAAAAGGCCCCAATTACTAGTGCAGCAGTTGCCACTTTATTTAAATGGCATGTTTATATGGGTCCTGCTGTTTCAGTATCTTTACGATTTTATTTTATTTTTTATTATTGAATTTAAAATGTTGCCAAATTTTTATGTATTCCTTATTTTGATCTTTAGATTGTCAGAGCTATTGAATATTGTCTCTTAGCTTCTGACTTTGGCATTTCTGAGTATAAAACACATAAGAACAGAATCAGCTGATGTGAACTTGGAGTGATCTTCTCAAAGGCTTTTATTTAGCATGTCACTGAAATGATTAACTGAATTCTGCAAATATTGAAAGTTTGGTAGAGAATTCAAAGTGAATTAGTTTTGTGTAATAGTTGTAATTTTGTACTTGTGAACAGTTTTGGATGATTTGCAACCTGAGCCATTGATTGACACTGATTATTCTAATGTTGTTCTTTTGTACCACAGGCAAATGGATTGACATGAGCAAAACGGTTACTAATGGCAATAAAGTAGATTGGTTGGAATAGATTGATGTCACTTTCGCTGCTGCTTAAACCACATTTCAATCAATAGTCGTTGTTCACCACAATGAGAGGCCACGAGAAATATTATATCCACTTAATGCTGCACTGGTAACCCTTCCAAATCAATGCTGGTTTAATCAATCTTAAATGTATTTCGACAATTGAAATGTTACACATGAAAACGACCAAACAAAGGCATGTGGTACTTGGCAATCGGAAATACAGCTTTTTAAAAAATGTTCATCAAATATTTTGAAATTGATCATGAATCAAAAGCTAGTGCTTAAAGTTTTAATTTGATAATTGAGTTATTTTCCCATTTATAACTGGAAGGATTTTTTAAAACTAAACATGGAAGCAATGTGTGGTATGAAGATGTGACAATTGCTTTGAACAGATGTGCAATGTTGATACTCATAATGTACTTGTAATGTAGAGGGGCCAAATTCATCACTGAAGTTGGATTGAAACCCGAAATGTGTGGCAAGGAACATGCTGATGTCACTCAAGTTGAGTCTGATCTCTCCCAAACCATGACATTTCAATAAGTCTGTGGCATGATGTAGGAGGTTTGACAGTTGAAAGTGTGGTAGATGCTGTTCACCTAATGGATCACAATGGTATTCAAGAAAATCATTTTTTCCTTTTCCTTTTAAGTTTTGGATTGTTATCAATAAAATCTCCTTAGTTTTGGTATTGAATAATGTATGTTTGAATCTGAGATACTGCTCACTTAGCTGCCTGTGTTGGTCTCAGTTTGATTCCCAAAAAAAAAGAAAAAGCATGAACTTTTAATGTTAAACGAGTAAATATTTTTACCTAATACTATTTTAACTGAGTCCTGTTGGAAATTTTTTTTTTTTATGTAAGACACGCCATGAAAATCCTATTGGGAATGTTTCCAGTTGTGTGTGTATTTGAAGTTTCCCATTGTTCATCACTCAGAATATAGCAAGTTACTGCTATAATGCCACATCCTATGTGGAAAGAGTTGGTTTGTGTGTGTGTGTATATATATATATATATATATATATATATATATATATATATATATATATATATATATATATATATATATATATATATATATATATATATATATATATGTGTGTTTATTTGCATTTATTTTTTTGAGGAACTTTCTGGAGCAGGGAACCTGAAGTAATTGGTGCTTACTACCGGATTGCAAGAAAAAAGCGTTATGAGTAGAATATGATGTATTGGTTTTGTCTGCCAAATCTAGTAATAAATTGTATTCTGAATAATGCTTTATATGTACAGATATCTGAAATGAGCAAAAGAATCTGGAGGTTGCATCTTGATGGGGTTGTTGAAAGGTGGGAATGCTATTAATGTATTTAACAACTTTGTTTAGCTTTCATTACAACTAACTCCATTTTATTGTATATGCTCACTTAATACATTGATCTGAATTAAATTTAGATGTTAAGTTGCTTTGTTTAACTGTAAAATATTGAATTCCAAGAGTTGAAGCTAATTTATTCACTATTAATACTGAGTTTCTAATACTTTCCATAGATTCACAACAGTGATTCTGAGAGTGGTGATAGAAGAATTGAGATCATGGGCAGCCCAGAGAACCAAGATTCAGCCAGACTTATGATTGAACAAGTTCTTGATGGATCGTTTCAAGATGGTTACAGTGGTGGCATGATGAATGGTAAGAAGCTTACTAGTTTTTAGAAGAATTAGTAATTAAATGAACTCTATTTTTGAGTAACATTCAAATATGGTTTTTTTTTTTTTTTTTTTTTTTTTTCCTCCTATTTTACTTCTGTAAAACTTTTGGAATTAAATTTGGTATTAAACTTTGCATGGCCTGTTCATTTTTACAAATGATATTTCTATAGATTGAGTTATCTTCAATTTCCCAGGTGGTGGTCGATTTGGAGGAGGAGGTGGCGGCGGCGGTGGCGGCAACAATGCCTGCTTCCGATGTGGTGAAATTGGACACTTTGCCAGAGATTGTTCCTCCGGTGGTGGCGGCGGAGGTGGTGGCGGTGGAATGAGTCGTGGACGCAACTTTGGTAAGTGTTTGAAGATTTTTATTTTTTTTTTTTTCTCCTTACTTTTCTTAAAATAGAAATAAGTACATTAACATTTTTTTCTCTTACAGGAGGTGGTGGCGGTGGTGGTGGCGGCAGTGGCTGCTACAAATGTGGGGAAACTGGTCATTTTGCCAGAGAATGTAACAGTGCTCCAGACTCCTATGGAAGAAATTTTGACAGTAAGTAACTTGTTTGTTTTTTTTTTTTTTTGTGTGTGTTTGTGTACAATGCTTAAAAAAAAAAAAAATCTTTTCACTGCAGATTCCAGAAACTCACGATGGGGTAATGGCTACTGATGCAGCATATAAATGGATGACATGGGAGAGAAACTTGACTACTAACATACAAGGAACTCTTGAAAACGTGAAAATTCCAGCTGGCAAATTGTCATTATTCTTGAAGACACTAACACTGCACACCTCACAAATCATCAGCTTCAAAATTTCAGGCCTGAATATAAACAAACCACTGTTCTCCATGATTACTTTCCTTCCCCTTCCCAAAATAAATTTTATTCATCAAAAATTTTTTTTTTTTTTTTTTTTCAGCTTTAAGTTCATTAGTTATGTGCAGTATTTATACAAAATATTTGCAAATTCCTGCAGTTCCTTTATGAAAAACGTATGAGGTAGCTTACGGAATATTTATGAAGTTGTCAGCATCATCCCGAAGCCAGGTTCTGGCAGGCATGCAGTTGACAGGTCTAGTTGCCAGCATTCAATATCTAAAAACTGATTTATAATAAATTTGCTGTTGGAAACAAAATTGTCTGTATTTATTTTTCTCCTGGAAATTTCCTGTGCATTTTTTTTCCTCTCTCTCTCCTCCTTTTCCTCTTCTTTCTACTCATAGATGTTTACTTACCAGTGGTGGTATTCGCCACCATCCTGTTTTCTGAACTTAACACTTCAAAAGAATAGAAAAATTGTTAATCCATGTTCTAATTAACATGGATGAAATTCAATAATTTGGGCATTTGTAACAATTGAATAAAGTACTTAGCTTTGTGTGCAATGGCTTGCTTGGTGTGATTCTTTTCAACCATTCCTCTTAAAATTTTTCTTGTGAAACTTGCAGTTTAAAGGTGAGTGTACAATTCTCTCAACATGGTCAGTAGTTGCATTGAGTAATTTGCTCAATTGTAACTTTTCTTTAACTAATGCTTATTTTCATTATTCATCATGGTAACTGAAAACTAGTTTGATTGTATAAAGGATTGCTGGATATTGGAAAGAGGTGTTTTACCCAGCAGGTATCTGTCTTTTACACGTGTCTACATAATGACAAGCACTTGGCAGTAAAGGCAAATGATGAATTAGAGCAAGCCCGGGTTAACCTTATCCAAGGAAAATTCCAATTCATTGGCTTGCTAGACTTAATCAAGTGTTGCTAAAATGTAAACAAAAAGAAAGCATAGCATGATGAAAAAGACTGAACTTGACGAAAACAATTTTATCGTCTAATGTTCATATTAAGGAGGAAAGATGACAGTATTTTTTTTTTTTTTATCGTTCCTAGCACGTCCGGAATTTTCGTTTTTTTTTTTTTTTTTTTTTTCCCATTTTATAAGATAAATCTGACTTTGATATTCTTTATAAAAATTTTTTTTTTTTTTTTTTTTTTTCAAAACTTATAGAATCAGATTGTTTATTTAAAATATTTTGAACTAAATAAAACAAAGCAGGTCATAACCTTTTGTGTCATTTGACAGGTGACAAGACATTCATGAAGTTTAGATAACTTACAGGAGGATAATTCTACCAATGGAAGGAAGTGACATTGATTTAAGTGAAGTTATTTAACCTTACTTTTAAGTAAAACTTTCAGCACTCTAATTTTTCATCTTTATGCTTATGATGCTTTAGGGAAAATATATTTATAAAATTATAAATTAAAAAATAAGACTTTTATTAATTTATAGGTACCTTTCTCATGAAATTTTATCAGAAGTGTACATAAAATACTATAATTTTATGTACATTTATTACATTTTATTATTTGTATTTCCATTTTATTTTTTTTTTTTTTTTTTTTTTTTTTTTTTTTATTTATGGAAAAATGTCAACTGAGATTCTTATAAAATAAGATCATAAGTTTAGTTAAATTTCATAAGGTACTGATACTTATAGGTACCCTTCTTAGTTGAAATTGAAAAATCAAATTAACTTCTCCATACTGTGTTTCGCAAAGGCCTTAACAGCGGAGAACAATGTTGAATGCCATGCAACTTAATTGTATTCTGGGCGGTCTTCATTACCGCCCGATTATAAACACAAAATTACATTTAATTACTGCGGATCTTCTGATTGGTCCAAATGATACAATTTTAAAAGTGCGAGAATCTCATAAGGACACTTAAAAAGTTGATGTGGCTTTTAACTAATTTTATATTTTTAAAAAACTTAATGTAAAAAATCTATTATAATTAAAGAAATAACAATTGTATTAAAATTTCAATTTTCATTGAAAAAGTTTTTTGCTTTCAGAAAATATTGTCCACATTCATAAGAACAACTAAAAACAAATAAAATCATTTGAAATTAAATAGTATCTTTGTTTTATTGAGTTTTGTATGTTACACTTCAGAGCTGATTTTCAGGTACTGTGGATCAAAAAAAAAAAATTCTTTAAAGCCTTGTGCTTTTAACTATTAATCACTGAAAGTTTCATTAACATCTGACAATTATTTTTATTTTTGCAAGATTTTCCAAATGTAATACAAAAAAAAGTGCTAAAAATTGTCTTATTTACTAGTTCCGGTTGGTACAAAGACAAGGTTTTTTAATCAATTTAGAATGTCCTAAAAAAGGAAAAATTTAAAAAAACTGGTCTTTCCTCTTCATAAAAACAAGCATTTAGATGATAAAATTGTTTTTCATAAAGTTTGGTGTCTTTTTCATCAGACTGCTTTTTTTTTTTTTTTTTTTTTTTAACTATTTCCCATATTCAAAATACTTCCTTGTCATATATCAAAAGCTAGATGTGCCGTGTATAGCACATAATGGACTGAATTTAGGAAAGATTCTCCGGCTTCAGAAATTTTGGTTTTAAATTATTTTCTGATGTGTGAGTGCGTGCCTGTTATCTACAAAAACAGGCATTTATAACAAATTCTCTAAATGTCTACAGTTCCAGTTGGTAAATAAGTTTAATATTTAAAAGTAATTGATTTGTAAAAATTCATTCATCAAGAGACTTATTTATCCTTGAATCGTAATTCAGAAAACTTTTCCCCCAGACACCCTCTGCTGATAAATTTTTTTTTTTTTTTGTGTCAGTATTTGGCTAAAATATTTAAATTCTCCAAGGATCCCTCTGTAGTGGTGTAAAACTTAGTTCTATGAAATTGAAGCAGATTTTTTTTAGGGGTGGGGGTAAAAAAAAAAAAAAAATTCATTAAGATCTATTAAAACTACCCCCCACCCCCAAATATTAATCTGCGTGATGATAATTCCAAACTTGCTAGAAAGAATGAAATTTAGTAAAATTAACTTTGTCCTTTTGCCCCAAGCATTCAATCAATTTTTTTTTTATCGTACGCTGTTTTTCAATTAGTTTAACTTTCCTACTTTTCTCCACTGTCAAGCTTTCCCTTTCAATAGTACAAGATCCTTACTCTAGGTTGTTTCTGTGTGTTTTTTTTTTTTTCCTCTTCCCCTCTCTGCTATTTATTAGTGTTAATATTTCTTCTTAGCCTGTTAGGTCTTTTGCATGTAGCCTGCTGTCAAATGGGTAAACGTAGTTCCTTGAACCAATGCATGTTGGTAGGTAGGTTTCAGCAACAATAGATTAATAATGTAAGTGAATGCAAGAAACTTGATTAGAATTTAAACTGCCCTGAATTTTCATGGTGCTGTTACACAACCTGCACATAACATACAAGCCTATAGCACCTGGTATATCAAGATCTTAAGCAACATTGAGCCTTGATAGTTAACTGGTGTTTTACAGAAAACGGATATAGTACAAAAACTTGGGCTACAGTTTCAGAATAAAAATTTGCTCACAGCAAATTGTATGTACATTTAAAAGTAACGGTTAAGGGAGATAACCGAGGATTGGAAATGGATTAATAAATTTGGTGACGCTCGTTACTGTATTCCTAATATAATGCAAAATGATAAAATCGGTTAATAATTATTTATGCTGGGACTTATGCATGCAATTACAAGTAATCCATAATAGTTTGAAATAAGCTAAGTCTTTCAATCATTCTGTCTCGCCTATAAAAACATTTCTTCCAGTTGAATTTATCAAAAAGGTAAAAACAATTACTGGTATGTTTGATATAAATATTTAATAGTACCATTGTAGTTGATTAAACTAAAATCTTGTAAATGGTTAAACTGGAGACTAATTGTGCAAAATGTGCACTCTTTTTTATATATATATATATATATATATATATAAAAAAAAAAGTCCTAGGCAATCATGATAATATTTTATCAAAGGTCTTTGAAACATTACAATAAACACTTGAAAGATTTTTATTGAAATAAAATTGTTTTCTATAGTTACCTCTGTTTTGATGCTTAATTTTAAAAATGAAAAAAGCTTCCTTGTAACTTTCTTTTTAGCTTCAATTGAAAGCTAAATGAGTAAACTTACTATTTCTAGTAAGCAAAATACTTTATTTTGTATTTCAAATAGAAATTATATTGATTGGAATCTCAAATTTTTGTCCGTTTTCATAAAATCTGTCATTTTTGACACATTAACAAGTTAGTTTATTAAAAATCTTCCAAAAGAAATAAAATATACTTTGCTGAAACTTTGAGGAATATTAGCTGATTTAAAGTTTAATTAATCTGGTTTGAAAAAAAAAAAAATAGTTTCAGGTGAGCACATTTTTAATCTTATTGTTGGAAAATATTCACCGTTGAATTTAAATTTATTATAGTCATCACTCTTTTCTGATTGTTATGTATGATTGACCATACTTTCAAACAGGCAAATTTGATAATATTTTATATACATAAAAAAAAAAAAAAATGTGAGTTAACTACTTTTGAGTTTTTCAATTTTTGATTTAGAAATTGTTTTCACTTAAACAATACAACCTAACTGGACAGAAGTAATGCAGAATTTTAAACAATTAAATTTTTAAAAAAAAAAAAAAAAAAATGAAAGTTTCTTGTAAAAACTCATTCATTGAAAAAAAAAATTTTTTTAAGACAATAGTCTTATAGGTACCTCCAATTCTTCGCAAGATGTCAGTATAGCATAATGATAACAGGACCAAAACTTTCATCATAAAAATGTTTGTTATTCTTAAGAGGAAAGAACAAAGTATTTTTTAAATATTTTTAAAAATTTTTCTCTTCTTTCTAACACTTTTTAAACTTGGGTCAAACATCTCGTTTTCTTTTTTTAAAAACCGTACGACTTCTGGTCATCGCTTTTTTTTTTTTTTTTAGTGTAGCAATTTCGGGTGAGAACCCATTAATTTTGAAATCATTGCAAAAATCAAATAATTGTCTAATTAAAATGAAACTTTCAGAACTTATTAAAAAATTGATTTATTCTTGAAATTTTTATTTTTAGAAAATCTTGGTAATTTTTTTTTTTTTTTTTTTTTACATCTGTTACTACCTCCAAATTTAATTTTATGAAATTTTATAGAATTTCAAAAAGTTTGCAACTTTTTTTTTTCTTCTTATAAAGAGGACTCCTTGGAGAAATTAAATAACCAATTTAGTTTTTCACAACTAGTCCCAATTTTTTAAAAAATCTGCTCCAAATCATAAAAATAAAACTGCAATAAACTATCTAATTATCAAATTAGATAAGTTTTTATTTGCTTTTATAAATAATATACATTAAGGACATTATTATCTGAAAAAAAAATAAAATTTCGGTGAATATAGAATTTTTACAATTGTTTGCATTTTTCTTTTATTTTTTTTCTTTAATTTTCAAAAATTTTTTAAAATTCTTTCTTGCAGCACATTTGGTCGGCTATTAGGTTTTTAAGTGAAGACGATATTTACTAAGTGAAAATTAAAAGCTTAATACAAATAACGCTACCAAAACTTTTTACCATAATAAAAGTTTTTTTTTTTTTTTTTGCGTCACGATGTTTATTTTTATTTATTGGTATGGTGTCTCGCAAGTGATATTATGGTTAAAAGATCACATGTTTCAAGGCTTGTCTCCCCCTATGGGAAAGCCCTTGGTGTACAATTATCTAAGTAATAAAAATTTAAGTACTTTAAAAATTTAATAAATAAAATAACTTTAACAATTCATAAACATCAAAGAATAAAATGAAAAAATAGGATCTTAAAAGATATAAATATTAAATACTATAAATTTTAAAGCATAGTGTTATCTCTATCATTTGTGATAACAGATAATTACTTTTATTAATTATAACTCAGTTATTAAATTAAGAAGTGAATTATTGAGATAAAATTATATTTCAGTTGTAAAAATGCAATAACTGAGTGAGATAGAAGTTATAATAGTTAATAATTTTTATTATTAATAATTTAAGATAAATATTAATATAATTAATAATATAATTTATAATTAATATAATAATAATATTACATCTCAGTTATTTAATTAAAAATTGTAATAACTGATAATATAGTAATTAATAAAATTATTTATCATAATTATCTACCATTATAGAGGTAACTACATAATTTAAAAAATTTTATTTTAAATTGTTATAAAGAAAACATCTTCAAAATTACAGTTAAAAAAAATCAGTAAAATATTAGATAATTGCCTGAAATATTTTAAATTTTAGACATTACTTAGTAGTTAAAAATTCAATAGCAAACCATTCTTACTTAGAATTCGAAAAATTGTATCAGCTCTGGTCCACCATACTAAACCTGTCAACACACGCGGCCATCAAATTATCAATGGAGACTCGAGAAAATTCAAGACTCCGTAGTGAAGAAATGCTTGTCTAGAAAATTTCATGGTGTAAGTAAGTGATGTTTGTTTTAAAACAGATTAATTAAACTTTAAATTTGCTAATTTTACGAAAGTAACGTTTCAAAAATCTATGTTATTTTAGGCGGTTTTTTTAAAAACAAAATTATTTTTGTTTACATTTCTCTATAAAAAAAAGTTAAACATTGCCGTTTCAATTAGTTTTTCAGAAGAATTGATTAAAATCATTATAATTTCTAGTTGAAATACAGTACAGTGTTTTGTTTTCTGGAATTAGAAAATTGAACCCTTTAGCTTTCAATTGAAGCTTGGGGAAAGCTTCAAAAATGATTTTTTATTTATGAAAAATACATTTAAACCTTGGGTACCGAATTTTTTGGAGGTGCCTAGTCTTAAATCTTACCTAATTAAATAATATAGTTTCATAGAATTTTCTGTAAGTGTTGGGGGATGGGGGTACTGTTTCATAAAAATAAACCGATTTAAATTCTCCAGAGTCCTGCTTTTAACTAAACTAAGAAAACAAATTTTGAGATGACAATTTCAAACAGTTGTGAGGAATTTTTTTTAAAATTCAAAAATAATTTGTGAATAATGGAACTTTCAAAGCTTATTGCCTTGAAAGTTCCACTACAATATGACAATTATTTGATTTTTGCAAGAATTTCCAAATCAATGTGGTTTTTCATCTTATTAAAAAAAAAAAAAAAAAAAAAAAAAATCTAATTGTAAATATTACTTTGATGGTTGAAAAAATAAAATTATTTTGATTGTACTAGAAAGGATTAAAAAATTTAATACTTTGTTTTTCTTAAACATTTTGATGATAAATTTTTTGTTTTTATTAAGCTTGGGGTCCCCCCACTCATGTTGTTCTTTCAATAAGTACCTAATTTTATACATAATACTCAGTATACTTGTTTGAAGTATCAAAATGCAGAAAACATTCAACTGCAATCAGTAGGCTTTTTTTTGGCACAACGGCATACTTGAGTAAAAATGGATAGTGGGAACAGGATTTAGAAAAAAAATATTAAGAGCTACAAAGAACGAGAAGTTGTGGAGAGCCTTGATTGCTTACATCCCGAGGGGACATGGCATATAAAATGATTCACCTGAACATAGGGCTTCTAGCATCTATTTTACTTTTTTAACTTAAGAATGAAAACAGCAATTCAAATATTTCAGAATGAAATCAACATATCTTTTTTTTTTTTTTTTTTTTTTTTAAATAGCAAGTCTCCATAGGTACAAAGTTAAAAAAACAAAAAAAAACAAGAACACCATAAAAATATTTATTATAAGACAGTTATTTACAGGATTTTCTTTTTAGTGTGCATGCTTTCCTCAGATTGCATTTAAAGAATAGTAAATAAAATGAGAGTATATAATTTTCAAATGGAGCTTTAGAAAATTACAACAATCTTAAATATAGCATTAAGATATTAAAAAATGATTTTTTTTTAACATCACTTTGAATTAAATATTAGCCAACCCTGTACACTTAATTAAAAACATTTCCTCTTGCTGAATTCAATACACTTTCAGTGGTGTTCTGTTTATTAAAATCATTAGATTAACACTTATCAAACAAAAGAGGAATATGTGCATAACAAATAAATGTAGTAAACACAGTTTAGTCAATTTCTGCAAATATAGAAGCTGTTCTTTAAGGAGTCCAGACTATTGTGTAAATTGTTTTGGTATGTAATGCAGGCTAATGGAAGATTATTTTGACCTAAAACAAATTTTTAGAAAAACTCAAAGGCACTTTATCTTAAGGGAAATAAGTTTTCTATTTTAACAGAATGAAAGGAATCAAATTTGGAAACTGCTGTGTGGTAAATGAGTAAGAGATCAGTGGCAATAAATGTTGAATAAGATTTAGGGCACATCTGTTCCAGACAGTGTAGGTGAATTATTTTAGTGCATTCTGAGGCAGCAATTTTCTAGTTACAAATTAAAAAAAAGTTCAGGAAGAATCATTGTCTTCATTTTCATTTGCACTGACTTCATTTTGACTTGCACTTCCTGCATTATTTTCATCATCACTCTCGACAATACGTGCTTTCTTCTTTTTTGGTGCAGAATCAGATCCCGAATCCTGTGAAGACAATAGATATGAGGAAAGTTTACAAAAACAGAATTGAATATGAATTATCACTCAATACAATGATGGAGTCAGTGATTACTTCCCTTATTTTAAAAAAAATTATGAAGTGAATATAAAAAAAATCTTGTCTTGATTTAAAATAAGTGTACTTCAGAGTCAGGCAGATTAATTTTTTGATAAAAATTTATTGTCAGCCAATCCTAAAATTCACAGGACAAAAATATCTAAGTAATGATTTGTTAATGAATTCAACAGATTTATCTTATCCTGAACTTACCATGTGTACACACTACATGTATGGAAAGGCTTTTTTACTTTAAAAAGTAAATGCTATTTTTGTGTTCAAATTCTAATTTCATTTGAATCCTTAAGAGACATATGGTAAATGAACTTAGCTGATATAAAAACTGAAAATTGTGATGCTAACTTCCAAGTTATTTTAAAGACAAGCAGATAATTTTTCAAATGAGTTCAAGCATTATTATACCTCTTCATCACTCTCCAGCTTTTTGGCTTTCAATGACTTCTTGTTTTGTTTCTCTTCCTTTTCAGAATCATAATCATCATCACTATCAGAAGAATAGATATTGGCACGATCTATAAAAATAAAAATATAAATGAAATATATCAAGATGAAATTTAACTAAAAGTAGTAAATTTGTTACTTTCTTTTGGGTTCAATTCTTTGAAAAAGAAAAAAGTTAAAATGAGATTTTTCAAAATTTTGTATGATAATCTAATAAGCAGTGCAGTTGCATACTACCCACTGACTTAGGGGAAGCCTGATTGGGGGCCCCAGGCAGTGCTTTGTGACCCTTGCTATCTTATTAACATTTGCTTTTTCTACTTACATTATGTTACAAATTAAACTAAGCACACTATCAAAGAATGAGAAAATTTTCAGATTTTGATGTCATTGTTTTTTTGTTTTTTTTTATCGAAATCCATGAATTTGTTTTGTTCATGCTAAGTTGTGAAAAAGCACTGTATAAAATTCACCATTTTTTTTTATCCATAATGTTGGATGTGTTAAAATTATTCAACTTTTTTCAGTTTGATGTTAAAAATTGCCACAAAACATTGATTTATTAAAAATGGAATAATCTATTATGACACTAATTGTATTTATTTTCAATTTTTTTAGTTGAATTGTTCACTTATTACTTATGAATGCATTATTGTACATAATTAGGTTACAATAACATTTTCATTTTATATGAATACTACCTTATGAAAATTGAGATGTAGTTGAGTGGGAGTCCCCTGTATCATAGATTTCGTGGGGGTCCAAGAAACCTTTGCACCAGCCCTGTTAATAAGTAATTAATTAGTTTGGTTATATGTGTAATTGAAGAGAAGTTGAACAATTCTTGGCCTGACACACTTATTAAGATGCTTCTTGATTGGTCTGAGAACTTTTCAGTACCTCTCCCCAATTTTGTGTGTGTGGAGGACATGTTGCTGAGTGGTTAGAGCATTCATTTTCTGACCATGAGAAATGGCTTTGAATTTCACCATGAGCAATTTGTCGGGGAGGTGACTTCTTGATGCTATCAGACTGGGGAGCCAATCCTAGCATGCAGTTCCTTCAGAAAGTGTTTGAAGGCCATATCATGGTTTGACCCAAGTCTTGTTAGTACAATTGAGCAGCCAAAACTGTTCAGAGGCTATGAACAGTTGCGCCAGCATGAAGTCATAAGTGATCGAGGTTTTGAACATACTGTCCTTGTTCAAATTGCTGATCAAACCAGATAATGTGCTCTCTCTGAGAAACTGTAACTAAGGTCCACAGCATATTTGCACAAACAACTACACATAAATTAGAGGTGGTCTCTGTGGGTGTCTGACCAGGCATCTGCAACAGAGACTGGCTTACTATCCTAGCAGATGGGTTTGCTGGGAAATGAGTTGTTGGCCATTATATATTTGCAAATATCACAGCTGGAAGACTTTTCCCATAATTTTTTTAAGTTTTAGAAAGTAGACACTGCACTTGAAAACTTTCATCACATAAATAACTAAAAGGAAACAAAGTTAGATCTTGATTCATTCAAGTATTTGCATGATAAGCTTTTCCAAAGTAGGACATACATACATTTTTGATTACTCAACAATATTAATCTCTATTTAGAAAAATCAATGAATTACAATGTATTTGACCATAAATTTGTCAATAGCACACAGAAAATGTCCCAAAGGTTTCTAAATTCATAGTAAATCATTTGTAACTTTTGAGACATCTTTTATTATGTGAGCAACTCATAAAATGAAAGCTAATTTATATGACTGATAACTTCTCTTCATTTAGCAGTATCCTTGAGATTACCATTTTTATTAAGTGATTTATTTTTAAAGAACAAATTTGGAATAAAAATGTCTTTACCCCTCTTAGCTCCTGGTTTGTAATTTTTCTTGATGGCTGATAAAGAAATTGAGGTGTCATCTTCATCTTCATCATCTCCTTCACCCTCAAGATAAGAAGAGTTCAAGCCCCTAGCATGAGCTTTTTCTCGAATTCTTCTTTGTTGGCTTTCTCGCCTGATTGTTGCCCGGAGACGTTCTTCCTCTTTCTAAACAGAGAGAAAGATGTAAAACAAATATACTTAAATACTTTTCCCAATTAAAATAAACTATAGCACACACATAATTTAAAAAAATTTTTTTTTTTCAAAGCAAGGCAATAAAACCACGATGATGCAAGAGATTCCTGAGTGTTAGAGAATATAAAAGAAAATACTATTAAGGAGAGAGGACAATAAAAGAATAAGACAGAAGATAACAATTGACATTGCATTTAAATTTTTGAAGATCAAAATTGACTGGGAAGCAAGAAGCCAGTTCCAGAGGCGAGAAGTGTGACAGAAGAAACTGTTAGCATAGAACTTATGGTTACATCTAGACATTTCAAATGTAAATTGATGAGACCTTGCCACCAATCTAGTATTGTGCTTAAATTCATAAAGTCTAGTTACCATAGAGGAAAGTTCACCATGAAAATATTTATAGAGAAGATACAGGCATGCTATGTCATTGCAGTTGAAAAGAGACAAAAATCGAGATGCCAGGTCAGAAACAATAATATTGCAGATTCTTCTTTTAGTTGCATTGTAAAGAAGTGTAAAGCTGCATACTTGTACCTAAAAATATTAACATCTATAAAAGAAAGTTTAACTCGCAACAATGTTACTGTGTCTTATTCAGCAAGATTTTTCAGTTTTACAGAAATTATCAATCATGCATATTTGATAATTTATCTTTCAAGAGGAAAATTAGTTGAATTCAGCTAGCATTTTATCAGTTTCCTAATTAGACTGTTGGTCCTTACAAATGTTTGATCTCCTTTCTGCCAGATCACATCAGTGTAAATTTACATATTTTCTTGAAATTCTAAGATATCCCCCCCACCCGTTACATTGAACTTCCCTATCGAAATAACTCAAAGTTATACATTAAAACAAAAATCAACTCTGTTCCAGTAGTATAATTTCTCACAGAATAACCTATTTTGCTTAGCATATATAAATTAGATTAGGAAGTGAACTTAATATCAAAGTATATTTAGGCATGAGATTGAAGTAGCATAAAATACATTACTCACCTTAATCATTTCTTCTCTGTGTGCATCAGGGTCATTTCCAGCAATGGGAATAACTTTTACCTTTTGTGTCTTTGTTGACCGATCAGCCAATGACATTGTCATCTTTCGATGAGTGAAAGACTCTGTGGAATGTGGTCTAAAAGAAAAATGTTTTTAAATATTCTAATTATTATATATTTCTAAATAATTGTTTTCCGTTGTCTAATGACCAACACAAATCAAATGCATTGACACACATGATAATGAAGTTAGGCACTCAAAATTTAAATGAAACATTCAAAATTTAAGATTCAATGTAGAATTATTAAAAAAAATTGTTAAACACATTACAAACTGTTTTTTGAAAAAAGGGGAAAAAATGCATAATGTTATGGTCAATGATAAATATTTTATGAAAGTTTAATTTTTATTAGTATTTTATTATAAAAAGTTTAATTTTTATTTTATTCTTATTAAAATTAATAACAATGACCCCTCCATTTAATAAAGTTAGAGACTATTACTTAATTTTTAATTTACAAGATTTATAAACCAATGTTTTATGTGTAGAATATACTAAAACGCCAGTTACAGATATACAATGTGACCATTTAATACCCCCCCATTACATTTTGACTTTCAATCTTATCGATGTGCACCAAAAGCTAGGAAAGGGCCCTCTGCATGCTCACAAGGTAACATGATGAAAGATGAACATGATGTTGAGAAATAAGAATGCAAATGCTGTCTCCCATATTACAGGATAGCCCAGGAACCACATGATGGACCTTACCCCAAGCACGACAGTTAATACAGACCAGCACATGGATATACACTATTTCTGGTTGTATTGCCACTGAATCTCCAAAAACCCATCATCCATTCCTTTACTTCCAATTCCTCTTCTGTCAAAGTGGATACTGTTTTCAAAAACCCTGCCAGCTATTAAACAGAAACACATGAAATTGAGATAAAACCACCTCTTCCCTTTACATCGATATCCATAGTATCAGAATTTCACCATAGTTTACTGGTTGTTTATTCTTTAAATAGCCACAACATTTAGAAACATTTAAAAAAAAATTCAATATTTAAAAATAAATGAGGTAATCATTGAGTGTTTATTCTATAGAAAATTTGTACCATAAATTTTCAAATAGGGGTTTTAAGTATACCAGATATAGACTTAGCTAGCAAATATTACCATTGTCTTCTCATCTCTCTCTTAAAAAGAAAAATCTACCATTTCTTTTATACATTGGAGCTGACAACGTTATTTGATTAAATATTAAGTTAAATATTCCTTAATTTTGGACACCATAGAATATATATATATTTAAATTCTGCAACAATACAAGTATTGAATTTTGTGGATCCAAACATGGAATTAAAAAAAAAAAATACACTCATGTGCTAAAACATTCTAACTTCCTGCTTGATAAAGCATTGTTCCTCCATGTGCTCCTTCTCTCAGCTAAAAAGGTTTAAGTATAAACTCAACAGGACTTCTCAAGATACATCAAATGCTGTAAATACTGCAAATTATTAAATAGTAGGGGGTTACAGAGATAATATATTGGTCCAATATATTTCATAAATTCACAATGAGAATAAATTTTAAGTAGTTTTGTCACTAGGGTAACCTAATTTATTAGTTATTTTCATGTTTCTGAAACCATTGTCATCCAACGTGTGCAATGTAGCAGGTTTCATTGTCTTGTTGATAGATGCCACTGTAATTCAAGAAGATCATTTTCATAAAGGGCCTTATCTTCTATGATATTGAGGAAAAGCGGTACATAGTAAAGTACTTTTCAATAAAAGGCAGGACCCAGTTTTTCCCTTCAAAACACTGACCAAATCATCACACTGGCTCCAATGGTTTGTTTCCTCACAATGGTTCCTAGTGCCATTGCTACTCCAGGATAATAACACATATCTTACCATACACCTTCTTCAGGAGAAAGTGAAACTCTTGAGAAAGGAGACCTTTTCCCACTGATATGAGGTCCAATTCCAAAGCTTGCATGCCTATTTAACATGCTTTCAGCAATGAACATAGAGGTTAGCATGGTGACTGGCCTGAAGCTAAAGAATCCCAGAAGTAACAAGTGATATACTGTGTATTGTGATACAGTCCTTCCATCCCTCATCTTATTGACACAGTAGCATTTCTGCTTGGTCTTTGTAGGAAAGGATTAATTGAATTTTTATCTCAATTAATCTGGATTGTGTTGTGCCTTGTTGATGGTTAGTGATTTATTCCTCCTCAAATCACTAGTAATAGGCACTCAGCACAATTGAACACAAGTAGAATACAATTTGTGTTGTGAAAATGCTTTTGATCTAGTCTTCTGGGCTGGTTATAAAGATTTGGCCTTCATGAAAAACAATCAACTCTTTATTGCACATAACTGTGACATTCAAGAGATAAAATGAAGGACTTGAGGTTGCATTATCTTCTGAGATACCTCGGACTCTTACATGCACATTTGTTACTAAATACTAACATATTATATCCTTATATGTCTATACAAACAGACACACAAAGTCTGTTTACATCATTTCAAGCATGACTACATGTAAGAAAGTACCTCTAACTCAGAGAGATTATAATGATAGACACTTGTACAAGATAAATAGCATTCTCTGAATATCGACTACTATAATCCAGTGACCAGAATGCTCAAGATGACTAGTGAAAGTTTCATTTGCTGGTTTTTAATTCTTAGACTGATTCCTTGTCAAGACTGAAGTGTGACACTATTTGACACTAGTGAATAGAAAGAAAGGGGTTAAATCAAAAACATAGCTCAGAATGAGATGAGAAGGGTTAATGAATAGAACAATGGACAGAATGAGAGAAAGAAGGCAGATTTCTCTTTTTCCAAGGGGAAAGCTTAATTCTTTAAAACCAGAAAAATTACTTAAAGAAAAGTAATATTACCACAAGAAGCCATGTGGCAAGCTTTAAGCTGACGGCTGATTAATGAGGCAGCTCTAGAAGTACCAGTTATGAAAACATAATATAAACAGAATGGATAAAATCTGATCTGTAATCAAATCAAGAGAATAGAGTTTCTTTGTGTAACATAGGTTATTTGGCAGGATTTGTTTGGGGATGACTGACCAGAAGAAGCAGCTGGTAAATTTTTGAATGTTAGGCAAAACCAGGCATGAGAAATTTCGTCTATGCAAAATATCAAATGATAATTTTAATTAATGACCATAAGTTAAGCCATGACAAGTGGTTAGGAGCCAAATTGGTTGTAGGTGCAGTTAAAATATCAAGGAACGCAGAAGAATTGCCCACACCCATTGGGAAGTGTTGGTGTGAGGTACCAGAATGAGAAGGAAAGTGTTAGGGCAGATATCCTGCAACCATTACTGATGACCAAAATTGGGCATGTAATTAATTTCCCAGGACCAGACAACAATGGGTTCTTAATGGTAATTAGGGGAATCACCAGTACCCTAGGCCATGCTGCACCCCCATGCCAGTTTCGGGCAAAGGTCCATATAAACAGGAGATCAAAGCAGCAGAGATAGTTGTTCCAGATGCCAGATGAAAGATGACTGTTTCACCTGATATCATGTGACTTCCTGCCTGAAGAAAACTTGTGCCAGAAACCTTACTCAGACTTAGCTAAACCAATTGTTGTGCTTAACTTACAAAGCAGGAGGGGTCAATATTTTCTGCATAAAGAACTAATAATTTTTCATATCAAGAATTAACCAAGCCCTGTACAACAAATGTGTATATATAAAAGCATTTTCTTTTATTCTGAGTACTTTTTTTTTTTACTTGTGATTTCACTCTGCCCAGACCAAACCAAGACGATTTCTGTTGATGATTCAATCCCATTATGATCAAAATCAAACACAATGTGGCATGGGATACAGCAAGGCTTGGATCAAAGTGATCAACTCATTGATCAGCCATGGGGATTGGACACAGACAGATCAGCAAAGAAGAAGGCTACAAGAGATCCCAGTCTTACATACTATGTAACCCATAGCTTAATACTTCTCTCAAGAGAAAGAGATGGCTTCATACTACTCTCAAGAGTATGTAACAAATTTGACTTGCTGATTTTTCCATTACATCACCTGCATACCAACACATTCATACATATGTACACAAACACTCTCTCTCATTTCTGAGTATAGCCATCTCTTGTTGCAATATGACAGTCTACAAAATAACCCAGTAAACTTCTCATGTTCTTCTAGGTATCATTATCATATATTAATTGTAATATGGATGTAATTGTTTTAATCCAGGAAAATATTTAGAGGACCAAACTTTAAAAAAGTATAAAACAAATGTCATGAGGAAAAAAGATATTTGCAGCTGATGAATATGCTATATATATATATATATATATATATATATATATATAAATAAACCCACCTGAATGTAAGTTTAGTTCTGAATATTGATTGTCCTTGGAGACCAGTTCCCTGCCGGACAAATAAATGATTGAAGTCACCTTGCAACAACATAGGATGAACATCAAAAATTTCACTACCCAAGTGTAGTGATATACTTCAAAGAAAGAGAGAGAGAAAAAAAAAAAAACAAAATAACAAAAACGTGTAAACTTCAGAATGAAATACATTTAAGGGAAGTCATTAAAATAAATAAGTGATAATTAATGAAACAAAATTTACAATTATCAGAAATACAATGTTTATTTTGTACTAATATGAAAACTGTCTTAATTTTGTAATGAAGTCACCAGTTATGAAAAAGACCTGCTTTATTGTTGTGCTCAGAGAATTGTAGCTGGATTACTCAGCTAACTGGCTGTTAATGATGAACCATTTGCCAGTTGTGCTTAGTATTGTTACTTTTGAGTTTCAAATAGATGGCCTGTGACAATTTTTCTTCCCTGGAGAAAAATTTACCAGGGGTATATTTATTCCAACCCTTTTATTAAATATTCAGGAAATTTAATTTCACCCCTTAATTTAAACTGAGTGTTCTAGGACAATAATAATAAAAAAAAAAAAAATCCAACGACACCTTTTATTCTAACCTCTACATCTGTTTGAGACTTAAGTACAGATGTATTGTTGGAAGTTGTTTGTTCAATAAAATAGTATTAATTCCAGACAAGTACAAATGGCTGCTATAAAATATGATTGTTCCAATAACAATATAACTGCTTTACATAAAATGGCAACTTATCCTGCAAGTCCCAAATATGGTTTTATATAAGTTTATTAATTGTCAAGTCTGAAGATGTGTCAAGTTTTATGCAAGTTTTCTTTAATTATTGTGGTAGACCTAATATTCCAAAACACTTTACTGAATTAGTAATAAAGGAATTAGTGAACAAGCCAATTTATGGTGGCAAATCAGAATCAAATTCTTTGTGGAAAATCTGCTTAAAATGTACACAAAAGAGAAACAGAAAAAACTAATAAACTACTTGATTTTTATTGTATCCAACTCTTTTCTTTGAAAAGCATACATTTTCTAAAGGTTGTTGATGTGAACCAGAAATTGTCATAAGTTTCAAATAAGGGAACATATAGAAGTTAAAGTTTTTATTACTTCAAACTTTTTTTTTTATCGTAGATACTCATATTTGAATAGACACTTTTTAAAAATTTTATTTTAAACTGTAGAACCTTGCTTGATTATGAAGCTCTTCAGAAGCGAGCAGTTAAAACATGCCTGATCAGACTGGTTTTTCCTGCAAAGGAGGACACAGTTTCAAATCCTGCCAGAGCACATGTTCTTTAATAAGTTGTTTGAGTGTACAGGCTGGTACACCAAATAAATACTGTTAAAAAAAAAAAAAAAAAAAAAAAAAAAAAAAAATGAACATCTACCCAAATATGGTAAAAAACAAAAAAAAAAGTTTGAAGTAATAAAAATGTGGGATTAAAATATAAAAACCATTAAGTCTTTAGAAATTAAAGTGCAGTTCATGTTTCCCTTGATGTGGCTATATTGTTCAGATTGATCTTCTCGACATTTGTAAGTTTTCTCTTTTATACAGTTATTTGAAAAAAAAATTAAATGAAACATTAGTATCACTGAAACAAAAGCATCCTTGAGGGAAAAATATCTCACCTTCCATCAGACCAACGCACCATTCGAGCATTGCTTTCTTTAATTACATTTCCTGCTTCATCTTTTATCTCATTGCCTTCTTCATCTTTTTTAGTCCGCCATCGGATAGTATTTTCAACCTGAAAGGAAGGACCAGTTATCACAATCTAAATCCAACACAATTTTCAAAATAATTTATGTAAGCAGTATTTATCTCGGTCATGAATATGGCTGTTTCACCTAGAGTAGAAGCAATGTGTCCAACAGCCATGGTTCAATATTGGGTCTAAATACCTATTGCTTGACTATATACAACTGACTTATATTCTCAAAACAAATACAATCATATACGAACTGATAGCTTCAAAATCCTCATTAAACAGAAATTTAGTATTGTTGGAGGATGTACTTTATGACATCAAACCATAGATAAAATACACATTTTAAGACACTTGATATTTCAATAAGAGAATTATTAAAACTTTTTTTTTTTTTTTTTTTTTTTACAGAAAAACACAGTAGCCTATGGCCATATCACATTGAAGCACTGGTTCTTGTATGATCATTTTAAGTTAAGCAACAACAAGCCTGGTCAGTACTTAGATGGGTGAGCACTTGGGAGTACCAGGTACTGTAAACTTGGAAGTGCAGGTGATGTAATGGACAACAACTTCGAACTGGAAATCAGAGAACTAAGTTCCAATTCCAGTCAGATTGTTTACATTCATTTACATGTTACGAGGATGCATTTCTATAATAAGGGATTCCACTGAGTTCTACTTGTTATTACAAAAAAGTTTTCATTCATGAAGTAGTTGTAAAATAGAGAAATTAGAAATAGAATGTTTGGAAGATTCTAGATCATTCTAGTATATTCGAGAAAAATCTAGATGATTCGAGAAACATCTAGAAATATGCAAATTAGGTATTAGCCCCTATAAAAATGGGATTTTGGAAAAGGGTTGTCAGTTGATGAATAGGAATTTCTGCTGTTATCAACTTCGGCTTTTGATTCAAGGACTATTATATCCAGCCGAAAGAATCTCTATAAAAAGTTGCCGACCAACAAAAACCCAAAAGAGAATTTCATGGAACAAAGTTGGTAAATAGAATTTTGACTAATTTTCATTGACCAAACTAAAAGTTAATATTTATTTACACACCTTTGTGGATTTCCAAATATAGCACTTAGTAGATTACTTCACTAGCCCTAAAGTGATAAAGATATTTGACTCCCTTTCCTTCTCCCTCATAACACTTGCCAGTAACTATGTTTTCTGTTTTGTAGGCCACAATTGTTTATCCTGTATATATTTTATGTTCTGTTTTATTAAATCAAGTATTTGTTTGTGATTTAGCTCTGTGTTGTGGTAAATCATTTTTTTTTTCCTTTGTTACACTTATCAACACGTAACATACATGCAAATACCCTTGGGAAAGGGTATAAATCCACTTCTTCTCCCCCCCCAGCTATGGGTTAATTAGTAGGACTTGTATCAGTAAATCATTATTATCTCCAAAAAAATTCTTATGATCTCAAAATATTTTTTGGCTTTAAATAATTTGCAAAAGATTGATAAAAAAAAAAAACAAAAACGGATTAATCAATCAATTCAGAGAGTAATACAAGTTTTATACAAACAGGTATGTTAAACAAAAATGGCAACAACGTTGGAGTAACAGTGCCTCAAATAAATTACTGCAAATCAAGCCAATACTTGCAGAATGGAAGCCAGGATACAGAAAATCTGAAAAGAAGAGGTAATAATAGCACTTGTGCATTGGTCATACAAGAATTACACACTTGTACTTACTGAAAGGGGAAGAACTAATATGCCCAACTGCATACACAATAAAAACATGTTTTGACTGATCCTATAGCTCTTGCTCCATCTAGGAAAACATATTTCAATATAAACAACATAAAGGAGCTCTTTGGAAGAGCAAGAATGGATGACGATATTTCTCAAAAGAGTGGGTTAATACCTAACAATTAAGAAAGCTGATATCTAAACCAACCAAAGTAATTGATACCATATGATTGTGAAAAATTGATACTATATGATTTTGAAAAAAAAAAAAAAAGAAAAAAAAAGAAAGAAAGAAAAAAAATGAAGCTGAAACCATAAGATTGAATAAAAAAATAGTAAATAAATAATTGATACCATGATTGAAGAAAAAATCTTTTTTTTTTAATTTTATGAAATATAAGAATGTCTCAGCTTTAAATGACCCATGAAGATTTGATTAGTCGTAAAACAAAACAACCAACCATCTATAAGTTTCTTTGCTTTATTTAAAGCACTGAAATTAATTATTTAGTAGCAGTTTTCACAAATTGTTGTGGAGGAGTATGTTTTGTAAAGATCTGAGTTTGGGATTAAAATTGATCTTGTAAAAGAAAAGTCACAGGAGGTAAGTAATACTAACCTTAAGTTTGAGCCTGGCTCTACCTTCTTCATCTAATACTTCATCTTCATCAATTTCATCCTCATATGTCAATGCATCAAATGGGCTGGAAAGAGAACAAGCAGGATACAGAAGAGGAAATAGGCATATCAAATGATTTCTATAAAGGCATTATTTTAGAAACCAGATTAAAGTAAGTAGCCTAGCTCTACGAATGAGCTACTTTTTCTGAATTCTCAATAAAAATGAGAGGATTTGATTTCTATATTATCATCCTTTTTTAATTTATTCTCTATTTTTCAGTGTACCCATGCTGTCAAAAAACACTATAGAATATTTCAGTAGTTTTGCATTTGCAATGTACTTATATAATATCAAAATGTTCCTCTGCATTTTCTTGTTTATATTCAATAATTCCTGATTAGTAAAGAAAAATATTCTATCCACAATTGAATTTATAGAATTTTAATTATCAAATTTACCACAACCTAAAATTCTATTACATTTTTAGAAGAATCTGTTACATAGTAGATGAGCAACTACATTGGGTTGCTCATCCTTCTCTATGTATTAGTCTCCAATGATGATGTACAAAAGTGACATAAAAGAACACACACAATAATAATAACAACAAAGATTAAAATAAGTTGACATAATAAGGCTTTTTATATAACATTTTTAATCAATATATGATATCTATTAATAAATTCAATTTAATTATCTAATCCTCTGATGAGTGGATACCATGTGTGAAACAGAGTTATGAAAATGACTTTTTAAACATTTTATTTGTTAATTATATGGAATTTAAAATAGGGGCATTTTTCATTTATACCAGTGAGCTCCATACTATTACATGAAAGCCTTATTTTGTAAGTTAAAAATTGATAGCTAAATTTTATATTGAATATGCAATAAAACTATTTAATACCTGAGGCTAGTGGAGTAATGGATAGTGGCTCGGACCGAGGAATTGGAGAGCAGAGTTCGAGTTCCAGTTGAATCCATTACATTCAATTACACACCCTTGGGAAAGGTATGAATCCCCCCCCTGCTATGGGTAAATAGCAGGACAGACTGGGTTCTATAGCTTTGGAAGGTAACTGGTCTACCACAGAAAGAAATAGCAACCTACTACAGGAAAAAAAATTACCTTGTCAATCATGTATTAAAAGATACATGATTGCCTAAGCATGTATCACACATAGCACATAACTGACTATTTCATTTATAAGAAGAATCAATGAATGAGAGAGAAAAAAAAAAAAAAAAAAAAAACTGGTCACTTAAAGGGATTTTTTGATGACATACCGGGTTTCAACACTGAGAAAATTGGGTAATTTGACATAGTGAAGAGATTTTCCAAGTTTCGTTACAATTCGTGGAATTTCTACTTCAATCATTGTTTCAGGTGGTTCTTCTTCTTGAGGCTGTTCTTCCTCTTCCTCTTCTTCAATAACAGGAACCTGCTGTAAGAAAAAAATAAAAAATAAAATCTGACTTACTTAATCCAATGATAATTCTGCCAAAAACGTTTCATTAAGTTTTTAGAGAAGGATTTAGAGCTATAATATAAACTAAAGTGAATAGATAAATACATAGTTTTGGAAGTAATCTGATGGGAAAAAGAAAAATAGTGCCCAAATGTAGATAATAGCATTTTAATTTGTGAACAGGTACAAATAAAAAAAAAAAAAAAGAAATCGTTAGAGAATATACTTTAGGTTTGTTGCTTTGAGATAATCTGAAATGTAGTTTAACATAAGTAAGCTGAGAATACAATGAATGAAGCACTTAAGAAATGAAGAAGTTTTAAGAAAAACGGAAACAAAAAGGACACTAAGGATCAGAAAGAGACAGTTGAAATTTCTTGGAGAATTTGACACTCACAGAATTTATTGAAGGTAAAAAGGGCAGTGGAAGACAGTGAATCATCTCTTTGGCTAGCTTGTATGTAGGGATGGCAGAAAAAAAACAAAACAAATGTTACTAAGAACTACTAGGGATAGGAAGTTGTTCAGAGTCATGAAGTTCTGAAGAGATATGACACTTAGATGAAGAAACCTTAAAAAGCTCACACTTTTTCTGTAAATACCTATAAAAGCATACACAGAAATTTTGGACTATTATTTGAACCTCTCTTTCCAGTAGATTGTTTATGGAAAATCTTAACTGATGTTTGAGTTTGAATAAGTGAGCCAGAGTTGCATAAGAGTAAGAGGAGAATTATATGGTGAAGTAAACTCCATGCATATGTTACCTGTTTACTTTTGAAGGTTTTCAACAAGACAACTTACTGTTTTAGACTCTTCTTTATCTTCATCATCTGATGAAACATCATCCATATCTCCAAAAATAGCATCAGCAGTTGCTGAAAAAGAAAAAAAAAAGATCATGCAATAACATTTATATAATATCTAGAGATAATAAATAATAAAAATTGCATAAATATTGCACATTTAAATTTATAGAGAATTTTAACCTGTACTCATTATATATATTATCAATGTACGCATTTAGAGCTTTAATCAAATAATTTTTCTTCAACTCTATATGTACCATGGTAAGTTTGATTACATCAAAAGGGATTTATTGAAGCCCATAAATAAGAAAATCACCAAAACGATTTTGATTAGATAATTAATATTCATTAAAAAATAAAAGAGAAAAGATCTGTGTTAAAAAAATCAGATGTGGTTTACATTACACACTGATGCTGTTTACCTGAGGCTCTATTTCTAGATAAGTAGTGTTCATTTTTTAGCTTACTGAAAAACATTCATGGAAAAAATATAGCTGAAATGTTTTTTTCATATTTTATCCTATGACCGATAAAAAAAAGAAAAAAAGATTACAATTTAAGAGCAAGGATTTATTATATATATATATATATATATATATATATATATATATATATATATATATATATATATATGGATGACATGAGCAATAAGTGAACATTTTATTTAAATTCAGAACTCAAAATATATCTAAAAAATAAAAGATATTCTCAATAGTATTAAGTAATTTTGAATAAAGTCTGAGTATATAAACTCTTTTGGCAACTTGAATTAAGTGGTAAACCCAATTCTTTCTACTCTTTGATTTTTTTTTTTTTGTTAGCTCTACATACAAGTGGTTGATATTATCTGTCAACCCATAACATTAGTAAATGTCCACAATGTACAAATCTTTCAATAATTGTTCCCATGTCATCTGATATCACAAAAGTTTGTTATCAATTCTGAATTATGAAGTTTACTAAAATTCATCCAATACAAGACTCAAGAGCCATTCAAGTGTGTGTATGTGCGTGTGGTTACTGAATGAGGTGTGTGATATGACTGTAAGAGGATGTAGAGAGAAGTGAAAATTATTGTGGTGGGTATGATATCACCTCCAAAATAATAATAATAATAATAATAAAGAAGAATATGCTGTAAAACTGAAAAAAAAAAAAAAAAAAAAGTGTTTTTAAAAGAACCAAGATGTTAAAAATGCTGAAAAAATTTTGAAATGTAAATGTTACAGAAAGTTAATTTAGAACACGAAAAATACAATCTTTTTGTAAGTGTACAAATGATATCAGATTACTAATAGAAAATTACTGGGACAATGATAATTGGAACTTTTAGAAAAAGAAATGGATTTTAACAATATAAGAATCAATATTAAAATAAAGGTTTTGATTTAGAATTTATTTTTAAAACAAGACTCTCTGTAGTTTACAAAAAGCAGCAGAGTGGTGGATAGTGAGGTGATAACAACAGTTGTGGACCTTGGAAACGAATCGATGAAAAAGTAAATTGTTTACTCTCAGAGGAGTAAAATTGTACTTTGAAAGTATGTCAGTACATTTGCACTAGAAAAACAAATACATCACTAGTTCTCTATATAAAGAGGCAAGCCAATCGGAAGAAATGAGAGTTTCAGGTTTGCCTGTCTTTGAATGCAGTTGAACTGAGTGGAGTGACGTCAGAAATTGAAAAGAAAGTGTCAACTGTGTGCTGCTGAACGGGAGGTGAAGAGCAAAATACCACCGCTACATCTAAGTACCGCTACTCCTGTTACTACTAATACTACTACTACTGAGAATGGGAACATCGACAGTTGTAGTAATTGCGCTAATAACAGACCAAAAAGGGTTAAAATATAGGTCACATCTCTCCTTACCGAAATTATCTGAAGTATTTTGTTTGGTTGGTTATTGTTCATATACAAGAAGCATTCAACCTTGTGCAACAAGAATTATTTTTTTTTTGTGTATTTGCTTTTATATATATAAAAAAAATTTTTTTCCTTTCAAAATCGAATTGACTTGGTTATTTATTTTTCTGTTAACCAGATTTTCACCCGACAAACTCACAGGTGGACCAATGGGGAGCTTCCAGATTTCTACAATCTGATGACCACTCTCCAGGATCAAAAAAAAAAAAAAAAAAAAAAAAAAAATATCACAATGTGGCTGGAGGGTGGCCTCGAATTGACATTGGGAACTGGAGACTGGTGTCTAACCTGTAATATTGGGCCATATCAGACCAATGGCTGGTCTGGTGGAGTGTGTGGGTCCAGTGGGGTGAGAATATAGTGTTACATTATGAAGATAAAGAAGAGAGAAAGCAATTAAGTTCTAGTCAGTTTTAAAATGTATTTATAAATGATTTTTGCAATAACTGTTTGTAAGAAAAATAGCTGCCCAATTTTGTAATAAAATATTGCTTCCATCTTAAAATTATTTCTGATTACTCTTATTGTGTATTTGAATTTAAGATATTTTTGTTGTGATAATGTCACATACTGATATGCTATGACTTTTGTGGTAGTTTATCTTACAATAGTTAAATATAATTATAAAATGTAATGAAATATGCAAGTTAGCTGCTAAGATTTTGTTATAGTCTTTGAATAAATGAACTTGAAAGCAATCCAGCAATTGCAAGTGTGAACAGATATGTACATTATCTAGGAATAAAAGTGAATTTATTAGTTTTAAAAAGGTAATTGCAAAGAAAAAAATTTAAATACAGTGTAACATAAAAAAACCCGGATATAAGAGAGATCTTCTCTGGTCCCAAATTAGAGCCCGTGTTAATGTATATAAATTAGACCAAACCCGGATATAAGAGAGATCTTCTCTGGTCCCAAATTAGAGCCCGTGTTAATGTATATAAATTAGACCAAACCCGGATATAAGAGACGACTTCTCCGGTCCCGACAACACTCTTATATCCGGGTTACACTGTATCAGCTAAAGTTGGATATGTCTTTGAAAATTATAATTCATTAAGAGGTCAATTAGTTAAAACATTTAATAATAATGATGATCAAAAAATATCTCATGCTTTTATGGTTAGGAAAGTTACTAACTAAACAAGATCATTGTTATTCTCTGTGTTGTGTGCAGTAAGGTTAACCTTTGGTAAGAAGTAGCTCACCTTTTTTGTACCATAAAAGGTAAGAATGTTGACAGTGAATTACCTCCCTTACATTTCTTTAACTAATCTTTTATTCTTTATATTTATTTAGGTACTTCCCACGATTTGCAATACCTAAGGTTTAAAATGAATTTTTAAAAATGAAAAATCTTTCTTGAAACTTGTATTTTAGTTTTAATTTCCAACAAATAGATTAAATTTAATATTTCCAAAGCGCAAAAGACTAATTTAAAATGTCTTGAAGGAGTTTTCATTTTGAAATCAATAACATTTGCTGATTTTTGGCCAACTGTCATACTTAAAAACTGTCTTAAAAAAAAAAAAAAAAAACTTTCAAAAATGAAATATACTTTTCTGAAACTTTATTTGAGGAATATAGCCGATTTAAAGATTTGATCAATCTGATTTGAAACAAATATTACTTTAAATTTAAAATATTGCAGAAATGCATTTTTTAATATGGCAGTAGCTGTTTATTTTAGATGTTGACAGATTGAAGTTTATCTAATATTTTTCTATGGTGGATATATCTGTAAAATTTACTTGAGGAATATAAGGCGAGCACAAATTTTTAAATAATCTTTATCTACCCAGTAATCTTAAAAATTAAGGAAAATATTTTCAGTAATCTAATGTTTTATTAAATTTTAGGTTCTTTGGCTTTAAATCTACCATAGTTATCACTCTTATTTTCTAATAATGTTGTATATGGATGTCGATATTTACAAAAATCAGCACGCAAAAAACATTTCAAAATTCTTTTTAAAATATTGGTGTGAATTGTGCTAAGTTTTTCCATTTATAGTTTTTACTTAATAACAATATCACCTAAGTTAACAAATTTAACAAAGTTAAAACTTTTTAAAACAAATTATGCTAATTAAAATTTTTTTAAAGAATGAAAACAATTCATGTAAAAATTCATTATTTATTGAAAATTTATTTTTTCTTCAGGCAATAGTGTCTATAATTAAAGCAATTAAAAAGCTTCTTTAATTAAATAATGTCTTAGTTATATTGCATTTTTTATTTTACGATTTAGAACAGATTTTCAGTAACTGATATTCCTATTAAAAAAAAAAAATTGCTGATTTAAATTAACCAAGGAGTTCTGCTTTTAATTAATATAAACATTAAGTTGCACAAAATTACATTTCTCAAAATTTCATATAATTAAATAAATTTAACAGATGTTAAAAAAAAATTTTTTTTACTAAGATTTTCTAAAAGCAAACAGTTCTAAAATAATTTAATCAAGTTATTAATAAGTGCTAAAATTTTTTTTTATTAAAATCTGACAATTATTTGATTATTTGCAAGAATTTCCAAATCAATGTTTTTTAAGTGCAGAAAAAAAATGTTAAAATTCTGATATTTAATCTTTGTCCACTGAGCTGATGCAAAAAAATAAAATAATTAAAAAGATTTTGGCAATAAAACCTTGTTTTTATTAAGTTTGAGGTATTTTTTCATCATGATATGCTAATTTTTTTTAGCAAATCAGTGTTGGTATTTATATTTATTCTACATAGATTTTTCAGTCTGATAATCTTCATTCTCAATCCAAAGGAGTCAGGCCTGACCATTTTTTTTCTTTTTCTTATATTTACTAAATTGTAATTCAGTTCTCATTTATCAGAAAAAAAAAAAAAAAAATTGTATTTCAGATGATATTTTTCATTATATTTCTGATACATAACTTCATATTTAAAGAGGGAAATGTAAGGGAGGTAATTCTGTATTTATGTGAACGCTGAATGAAACCATAAAATCAACACTACCTAAAATTTAATCAAGAGAGAAAAATGAACTTCACTCAAAACACTTGATTTTGTGTGTTTGGAGAATTTTTACACATGCCATCAGTCATATGAGAACGCATAGAAATAATAAACTACTTTTCCCAATTAGAAAGTAAAATTGTATAACACAGAGACACACACTTACCAAGCATGTTTTCACTGTCCGAGCCTTTTTCTTTCTGGTCATCATCATCATCATCATCGTCGCTCACAACACGTTTCTTTTTTCGTACAATTTGTTCATCATCGTCACTCCCAGCACCACTGGCATGTGAATCAGAATCTAAATGAAAATTACAAAATAGATGGATTTTTTTTTTTTTTTAAATGCTATTTCCCTTCAGAATATATGCAATCATTGCTCTCCACAGATTCCTTTTTTTTTTATTATTTGTGAATAGCAATAGCTTCTTGGGAAAAATAGTAGAATGTTTTTCCACAACCTTCTCCACAGTTCTTAATTTAAGAGTACGTCTCTCTTCTGGACTGGCTACAACTCAAAAGCTAGAGTGCCTAGTTTGCCCTGTTATTTAATCCAGAGCTCAAATGGATTCATACCATTCCCAAATACAAAATGAACATAACAGATTTAGACTTAGCTCACCGATTCCATGTTCCAAGCCAATAGCAGTTATGCTATCTATACATCTCTTGTAAGAATAATATTCATAAAATATTTTAAGTATTCATATTGATAACTAAGTTTAATCATCCTGGTGCAAATCAATTTTGTTGTTGTAGTTAAATGAAAGCTGAATACTATATTTCTAGAACATCAATAACTACACAGATACACCTCAAATGACTGGATTATTATTGTTTTTAAGCTTTTGCTAAGATTCAATCTAAAGTAAAGTTACCTAAATTTAAACAACCTCATGACCATTGTAAGTGGCTGGAAAATCCTAAATAACCAAACACTATAAACATTTATATTTTTATGGAGCAGTCTTTACATATTTAATTTAAAAAGTAATTAATATAAGTGAATAAACATTTGATTCTGTTGGATTTAAAAGCTGGTAAAAAGAAAATTAATGTGCTTTCATTTGAATCTTTAAGAAGACTGGGCTCTTAAGCAGTAGTTACCAGACCACAGTTAGGTCATGGAGTCATTGTGAATTCCCTAATTTCATTACTTGCATTTAGTATGTGCTTCATGAGGGCTACATATGGCTTTTGAAATCAGAATTGTTGTTCTAGACTGGCTGCTAAGCAAAGCTGAAGAGCCCAGTCTATTCTATTATTTAACCCACAGATTCATACCTTTCTGAAGGCTATTTGTGTATAAGTGAATGTAATGAACTAAACTAGAATTCAAAGTTGGCTCTCTGATTTTTCATTCCAAGTCTCTATCCATTACACCACCTGCACATCCAAATTAGGGACAATGGTAACATTTGCTGTGCAATAAACCTATATACTTCAGGCATCAATTTAAACTGGTGCCTTTTTTTCATATTTTGTGACAATTTTGCTTAAAATAGAAATCTTAACCCCCCCCCAAAAAAAAACAAAACAAAACAAAAACCTTATGACCCTAATAAATTTAAAATGTTTAAAAAACAAGCACCTACCTGAAAGCTTTGCTTTTTTTTTCAGCCTCTGACCAGTATCCGAGTCTCTGTCATCCTCACTTCCTGATCCATGCTCATCATCACTTTTGGCTTTTGTACTGCCAGCTGTTGAAGCTTTGTCAGATTTGTGATCATCATCATCCTCATCATCATCACTTGCTCTTCTTGCACTGCCAGCATCTGAACCTTTATCTGAAGCATGTCCATCACCTTCATCATCACTTGCACCTCTAGAACTTCTCATCTCTGATACTCTCTCATCATCTGACTTGTTCCTGTCCATGTCATCATCACTACCAACTCTTTCTGATGCTTTCTCATCATCTGATTTCTGCTTATCATCATCACTATCAGATTTTGCTCTTTCATTGTCACTAGTCCCAGCATCTGAGCCCCTGTCCCCTGATTTCATTTTGCTACCCTCATCCCCAGAGCTTTTCTCATCATCTGAATGCCCTTTGTCCATTTCATCATCACTTCTATCCTTTCTTCCCTCATCATTATCTATTTCCATTTTATCTTCTTCCTCTCCTTGACTTTCCCTGTCACTGTGTGTAGGGGACGGTGGATGGCTCCTATCACTGTGAGGGGAGGCAGCACAGCTACCGCCACTGTCCACAGGAGAAGCAGGCCGACTAGCATCATCACTCTGGGCAGGGGAAGCTGGTCTGCTGCCTTCACTTTCTACCGGGGAAGCTGGTCTACTGCCTTCACTTTCGGCTGGTGATGCAGGTCGACTTCCATCACTTTGTGCTGGAGAACCAGGCTGACTAGCATCACTTTGAGCTGGGGAACCAGGTTGGCTACCATCATCGCTAGGTGCTGGAGAACCTGGACGACTACCATCACTACCTACAGGTGATCCCTGGGGGCTATCATCACTCTGTGCAGGAGACGCTGGGTGACTGCTTGCATCACTCTTAGCAACACTGCTTGCACGACTGCTTCGAGCACTGCCTCGGTCACTATCGGCAGGGCTACTTTCTCGAGATCTAGATCGTGCATCACTGCCACTTGCAGCAGATGATGCAGGTGAACCTGGTGGGCTACCTGATCTACTTCGGTCACTTCGGGCTGGACTACCAGCTTCAGATCCACTCTCTTGTGGTGATCCATGTGCACTTTCTGCTTCACTTTCTTGGCCACTGCCAGCATCACTTTTGGCTGAAGCTGCAGACTGATTGCTACCATCGTTATCTGAGCCTGAACTCTCATTAGAATCAGACCCACTTCCTAGAGAGAGAGAGAGAGAGAAAAAAATCCACTTTTCAAAATATTTAAACTGTATTAATGAAATACAAATATCGCATAACACCAAAAAGTAAGTTATAAAACACACACACACTATATTTGTGTGCATGAAGATGAGAAGACAAAGAGGAAAATCTATAAATGACTAGCAGTAGAACCCGGCGTTGCCCAGGGATGTAACAGTAAGAGATAGATCAAGTATCGACCATCATAAAGACTGAAAAATAAAATTGACAAAGATTATTGTTTAAGGTTGACGGACACGCATGTCTTAATTAGTTTTTTTTTTTTACGAATTGGTCAAACTCAAACAAAAACATTGTTTTCAATCATTATGAGTCTACCAATAGAATAGAATTTTATTGTAAACAATTGTCTTGTAAATGGAATTTTTAAAGCATTCTGAATGTAAAAATAAAGAAAAAAGTGTGCAAGACAATAAGAAACACTACTTGCCAAAAAAAAAAAAAAAAGAAGAAAATAGTGAAGTTTTGTTGAAATCGGTTGAAAAATGTAGGAAATCCAATCCCATATATAAATGAACACACACACAAACAACCTGGGTTTTTATAAGTATAAATCGATACGAGTTGTCCCCCTTTCATTCCGTGAAAGCGATGCCTCTTAATCATGTTTTCAAATTGATTTAATCCAAAAACAATTGTGTTTTTCCAATTTTTGGCGCTGTCAGAACCACCGCAAGGTAATTTTACATAGTCCTGTGAAGTTTTGTTGAAATTAGTTGAAAAATGTAGGAAATCCGATCCAATATATAAACGTACAGAGACACACACACAATCTGGGTTTTATAATAAGTATGATGATGATGTATTTTGCTGATATCGTCTGTTTTCTCTGGTTTCCTCAGGTTAGAATGAAGTAAAGAACCCGAGGAAGCCAGAGAGAGCAGATGATCTTGACAAAACATGCCATTCATAGATTTTCCACTTAGTTTCATAACCATTACTTTTGTTTAAGATATTATTATACATTCTACGCACACACACTCACTTAAAAAAAGGAAAATTTTTAGATAACTATTATACATCATAACTACAAGTTTTTTCATTAGCTGTAAGTCACATTTTATGAATCATGTATCAACATTCAAAATCATATAACTTTCCAAATCCAGGGCTTACTTGCTCCTGCTGGAACAACCCTTTCCTTGATTGTTTAATGGCATATCAACTCCTAGTGAGTCATCTTATACCAAAGCAAGTAGTGATGGGATTTTATATTCTTCCCTGATTGACCATATTTTTTAGAGATGCAGCCATACTCACCATGCTTGGCCAGTTGTGGGTGGTGAGGCTATTTAACTCTTAGTTGGTGTTTTGAATTCAGTTGCCCTTCTCCCTGACCAGTTGCTACCCAGTCCTGCTATTTACTCATAACTATTGGAAAGATGTTAAGAGATGGAAATGTAACAAAACTTGGCTTTCCATTCCTCCACATTATAACTTTAAAGAATGGAAATAACAATATAAATGCTAATGGCACCTCCCAAACTTATCATAACCAGATACATCCCAATTATAGGCAAAATGAAAGAGCTGTCAAAGCATTCATAGGTACATATTAATAGTTGAAAGTGATAAACATAAAATTAATATTGAAAATATAACCGATTATTTTTTTTATAACTCCTGTCATCAGAAAATCAATATTAAGCCATATTTGTATTCTCTACAATTTTTTTTGTCCCCAGGGAAACTGTATTTCCCATGTTTGTCACATCTAATTCATACTTTAGTTATATGATTATTACTATAGACTAATTCCACTTGTCTTCGCTTGTGTGCCGAGTTGTGAATGACTTTATCATAATGTGCAAACTCCATAATAGGAAATTTAAAAGTTGAATTTAAAAAAACAAATTTTTTTTAAAAGGTCCAGAATTTTTGCTTATACAAGATCAAGTATGATAAAATTTTCAATAAAAACTTGAAATTGATAGCAAATAAGGAAAGACTTGATCCTCAGAATATAGTCAGAGTTTTGTTTATTAAAATTATAGTAAACAACGGATATATTTCTTAAAGTCAAAAAAATTATATCCACAATATTAAAAGAGATAAAATTAATATTTCTAATATAATTTATCCAGTTCTTCTATATTATTTCTCTAGATATCAAATAGCCACACTTGAAGAAATCATGGGTAATGAAAGAAATAACAAAACATAGACAAGTATTAGATAGTTCAATAAAGCCTACTCTCACTGTTAGATGTCATCATATACCACTTCTATTCAGCCAAGGACAAGGATGCATAAATGGTCAGCATCTGAGTAATGTCAGGAGTGAATGATTGGGTGAGTCAAGCTGAAGTTGCTCTAAGTGACACACAGTGGAAGACAGCAAGTAAGCTTCAAGTAACCAGAAGTTATTGTTATAGTAACAATTGGATACAAATACATTCATGGGAAACAAATAGGGTCCAGTCCATGAACAGAACTCTTCATCACAAATTTCTCCATATATATAACAATGAATTAGCAGAACTAAAGGGAACTACAGACATTTGAACAGTTTCACAAATGTTCTTTGCAAAATGAAGAGAGTTTTTATTTTATTTTGTTTAAGTGCACATATCTAACATGAAAATTTTTAAATAGTAAAATTTAACTAACAATTCTCAGGAGCCATTCAAGGTAGAAGGCTACTGCTAAAATGGTAATGATAAATGAGATACGTGGTATGATTATATAGAGCCTTATTTTAAAAAAATTATTGTTCTGAACCACATGACCTAATAATAATTTTTTTAAATTTGTGAAAATAAAAAGGCGGGGAAAAGTTATTTATATATATATATATATTATATACACACACTTTTTATTTATATATTTTAGCATATTACATAAAAAGCACCTGAAAAATGCTACACAAATGTAATCAGATTTCAATGTGCATTAGTTACAGGTATTAGCAAACCTAGTTACTTTTACTAACAACTGATGAGATGTTTTAATACACATCAAAACATGATTGCATTTGTGTAGCATTTTTCATGTGTCTTTGATGTAATATCCTAAAATAAAGAATATTGCTCTACTATTGTAGTGAACCCTCTTTTAAATTGAATGTTACAAATGTCGGAATTGGATTTGATTCTTTCTCATTTTATATCCAACATTGGATATTATCTATATTCACTAACTAGCAGTAGAGCCCGGCGTTGCCCGGGGATATAACAGTAAGAGATAGATCAAGTATCCACCATCATAAAGACTGAAAAATAAAATTGACAAAGATTATTGTTTAAGGTTGACGGACACGCATGTCTGAATTAGTTGTTTTTTTTTTTACGAATTGGTCAAACCCAAACTCAAACAAAAACATTGTTTTCAATCGTTATGAGTCTCTACCGATTGAATAGAATTTTATTATAAACAATTGTTTTGTAAATGGAATTTTTAAAGCATTCTGAATGTAAAAATAAAGAAAAAAGTGTGCAAGACAATAAGAAACACTACATGCCAAAAAAAAAAAAAAAAAAAATGAAGTTTTGTTGAAATCGGTTGAAAAATGTAGGTAGCCTTTCTGTAATCTTTTAGTTTTACAATTTAGGATTTTTACTTATTGAATACAGTAAAAAGAATTGCATATTTTGCTTGTGGTGATTCATAATGAGAATTCTGATTTGAATATATTTTCCACTTGTTGTTTCTAATACAAAAAATATTAACTTTATTTGAGTTTATTAATTATGATCTAACTTATTCATTTAGTAGCCTTTCTGTAATAATAATCTTTTACAATTTATGATTTTTACTTATTGAATACAGTAAAAAAATTGGACACCATGTGTATTTAAAGTAGTTTCGTTCGGGTTATTATTTTTAGTTAGGACTTGTGTATGTTTAGATTTCATTATCTTTCCCTAAAGATAAAGAATTTATCCGATGTTTGTATTCATACAATCAGTAGAGGTCGTTAAATTATTCTTTATGGTTGACGGACACGCATATCTTAATTAGTTTTTCTTTTTTTTTTTTTTTTAACGAATTGGTCAAACCCAAACAAAAACGTTGTTTTCAATCGTTATGAGTCTCCTGATTGAATAGAATTTTATTATAAATAATTGTCTTGTAAATGGAATTTTTAAAGCATTGTGAATATTAAAAATCAAGAAAAAAGTGTGTAAGAGAATAAGAAACACTACCTGCCAAAAAAAAAAAAAAAAAAAAAAAAAAGTGAAGTGAAGTTTTATTGGCTGAAAAATATAGGAAATCCGATCCCATATTTAAAGGGACCCACACACACAAACAACCCGATGTGAGTTGTCCCCCTTCCATTTTCACGATGTCTCAATCGTGTTTTCAAATTGATTTTGTGCAAAAACAATTATATTTTTCCCATTTTTGGCGCTGTTAGAACCACAAGGTAATTTTATGTAGTCCTGTGAAGTTTTGTTAAAATCGGTTGAAAAATGTAGGAAATCCGATTCAATATATAAACGTTACAGACGCACACAATCTGCGTTTTATAATAAGTAAGATATATACTGAATAGCTCTGTTACATAACACCGAGCACTGTATTCATAATACCCGAGGGAGAAATATATTTATATATACATGCAAGTATATGTGCATATATGTATATTTTTTATCATGCACATTTTATATATATATATATATATATATATATATATATATATATAGAGAGATAGAGAGAGAGAGAGAGATATTTCTCTTTATGCCATGATGAATTTTTAAAAATTTTATAGATACTTTCCATTTCTACACTGGTATTCAGAAGAAAGAATTTTTCATAAAATTCAACATTTCAAATTTCAATATTTATATTTTAACCTTGATTAATCTATTATTTAGTATTTCACCTACCCATCCTTATTTTGAAATACACTATTAACTGAAGACTTTTTGCAAAACATAGCAATAGGAAATGTTATACTGTAATAATGTAAAGATAACACTAAATAATTTTGAAGTTGCTTATTTTTAACTTACAAAAAAATACTGAATAATATTAGATTAAATAAATACTCTAGCTCAAACCTTTCTTATTAAGTTGATAAAATCCATGTCCTACAGTCAGGCCAGATTAGGTCAACCTCATAGATTACTGGGTTATATTTGTACTGTAAATCATTCATGATAGAAAACAAACAAATAAAATGTGAATAAAAGTTTTTTGAGCAAACTTTAGGTGAATCCAAAGTTAGATTACAAGACTTTGTACTAAAGCACAACTGGCAAAAATAAAAGCTCCCTGAATTTTGTTTGGTGAAATGAGAGAAGTTGCTTATCCCTCTATAAGAAAACTAAACCTACTCCCAAATAAACAGAACAATAAAATTATTTACAAATGGTAATACATACCAGATTTTTCATCTTCCCCAGATGCACTTCGTTGGCTAAGGGGACTGGCTACAGGGCTAGCAGGAGCTGATCCTGCAAGACAAATATATACAAAAGTATTAAACAAATTTTACAAAATAATTATATGATTTAGATAAATATATTTCCTAATTTTCTTTCAAAGAAAAAAAAAAAGAAAACAACACTTCATTATATTTATAACAAGGTGATAGTTATAATAAGTATAGAACATTAGGTCAAGAATTTTCTTCTAAACTTGTAATATAACAGATTAACTGTCTGATATATTAAACACTGTTATTTTTATTCTAATTCTATTAAATTCAAATTTTCTCATTTTAATTACATGCTATGGATTTTCTTTTATAAAGCTAAATGTAAACTGTGAAGAGCTTTTATTTTAATAACAATGTTTTTCTGATGATATCATTTTCATAACTTAAGATTCTCATACTGAATGCTTTACCACTGCACTCCTCTCAAATTCTGTATATGCAATTAAAAGTTTTTAAAAATGTATAGGTAAAGCAAATAAATACACAAGAAGTGCATATTAAAAATTTTATCAGTGAAATTATAAATCCAATTTAAGATCATTCCAATAAACTTGACAATAATATGAAAAAGTATAAAAATTTAAGTTTTTCTGCAAAAAGTTAATTAAATAAAATACAAAAAATCTTAAAAATAATGGAAAAAAAAAAAAAAAAAAAAAACAACAAAGCAAAAAGTTAAAATATCTCCCCTCATTTGATTATGAACAGTAATCAAAGATATTTTTTAACTCGCTTAGCCATGATAGAATAATTTATTGGCTAATGTGTTTGTTACCATTGCTTGATAAAACTGACAGTGTAAACTCAATAAAAAAAAAGTTACAATACTGTTTCGAGGAAACTCATAGTGCAATATTCATCAAATTTATTCATAAGTCATTGATAATGAAGTTGTCTCAAGTGGTGTTGCATAAAAAGGGATCTTTTGCAACACTTAGTTATTTATTAAGTACCTATCAAATATTTGTTGCAACTGAAAAGCTTTCAACCACTGCCTTATCTTTTATTTACTTTTATTTAATCTGTGCAAATATGGCTGTCAAATTAGATTGCTGTGGTTTTTTTTTTTCTTATAAAAGTGCTTTATATTACTGATGTAAGAAGAAGTAATGTTGGCTTTTTAGTGTTATAGTTTTAAAAAAAGTAGATGCTACAAACAGAAAACTTAACATTAGTGATGAAAACTGGCTATCTGATATTTTGATTTGCAAAAAAATAGACATTGTAAGATTTTGAAAACAGAATATAAAAGTTATTTTGTCATTAAGTCATGTCATTAAGTGATAATAAAATTTTGATCTTGATAAAAAAAAAAAAAATAATTTAAAAACTGTATTAAAGAGATTTTTTGAGGGATGGTCAAAAGTAATTAGTAAGGATTCATCCTGCATGCTTTTTTTTTTAAGTTATAAAGAAAAGTCCCTTAAAGTGAGAAGAATTGTGGAGTCAGTTTCTCTTTTCCTATCTCTAATTCTTTTTCATAATAGCTACCCCCTTGGACACATGTAGAAAACAAAGAACTATCAAAAAAGTTCTGATTTTGGAAAGAGAATGTGCTGGAAATATTCATATAAAGTTAGTGAGTGTTGATGGAAATAAGCACAATAAAACATGGGTCAGTAAACTTAATGCAAACCCTAGAGAGATTGGTTGATTTGTTTTATGGCTTATCCACTCTTTGCTAAAACAGACTTTAGAAGAATAATTATTTTTTGTGAGTGAATATTGCATTAACAATTTTTGAGAATAACAATGATTTTTCCAGATGCCAGCCCTATTATTTAACCCATAGTTGGGGGGTGAATTCATACCTTTCCAAAGGGTATTTGTGTGAAAGTGAATGTAACAAACCAGAGTGAAATTTAAACTCGGCTATCTGATTTCACATTCTGACACACTATCCATGACACCACCAGCACATCCATTCTTAGAGAGAAAGGAGAAACTAGTTTTTGTTTAGTGACAGGCTCCATTGTGGAAGACCAGCTGTTGCTGTGAATGAAGATAAAGTCAAACTGACTGATGTTCTCTTTCTAGCAGACAAAAGACTCACTTTTCTCAAATTGTAAAAATCTTCAAGTGAGTCATAGTCTGTAGTTTATTACAATCTCTTGGCTATTCAAATGTCTGTGCAAAAATGGGTTCTCAGAATGCAAGTAGACACCATGAAGAAGCAGGGGGTTGTTTCATCTGTTTGAACTCATAAAGAAGGCACTCAGAGGACAGCATTTTTCAACAATGATTAGATAAAGGAGTCATCTTGTTAAAAAGCAGCCATGAAACTTCTACAGAAAAGATTAGCTTTCATTAACAGTTGGTATACCATGATTAAGAAGGATATAGTCTATTTTTTAATGCTATATTGTTCACCCAACACAAAGCCCTAGAGCCTCTCAAGGTAGAGGGGTTACTAAATGGAGATGTTTCATGGACATAAGAATTTTACATTATGAGGATATATAGGTAATGTTTGACTCTAGACTTAAATAGGTTAAGATTTTAGTGGTTGGGGAAGCATCCCCTTCAGAGTCTGTGCCATGAAGTAGCAGCTTTTGGGAAGAAGTTGTCCAAATGGAAGTTCTTTCTTACCAATAGAATACAAAAGGAATGAGGATGGTTCACCTCTATGTACATGGCATGGTGGGACTTAGCTGGAAAGGTATGAACTAGTAGAACTAGGAATGTAGCTTGTCAGAACATTTTGAGGATTCAATTTGGAGATCCTGAAACTTTTACAATATTCATTTTACCATGTTTTGTGTGATTTTAATATTAAATATGTTGCAATTAAATGCAATAGATTTGCACAGTGTATGGAGAATAAACTGAAATGATTGAATGTGCCAAATTTCATGGAGACTTCTTGCTGACCAATGTTTTCTAGTCAAGTAGACCAGTCAAAGTTGATAGAATAAAATCAAGACATTACTGGAGAATAATCTTTTTGCTTCTCTGGAAGTTGCTTATAGTCATGGACGTATTTCTAGTTACACAACATTATCTTCTTTGACTGAAAGGCTTACTGCCATATCACGTTGAAACATTGGTTCTCATCCAATCACCAAAGCAACATTGAACCTACATTATACATTGTGGGAAATAGCCAACATACTCAAAATATCGAAATGAAGAATTGAAATTCATTTGCATCAATATGGTTAGAAGCTTTTGGGAATAGTGTCTACAGAAGATAAAAAAGATTGTGATGGTGACTTAGTGGATACTTAATGTGGAATGCAAAACAAATCAGAGTAAGCAAAATGAATAATAAATGTGTATCAAAGGATAGACTTCAGTCGAAGATTTTTTTTTAACAGCTTATCAATATTTTCAAGGTTATTTAAAGCCAAAACAATTTTGGATTTTAAGAATTGTTTGGAAATAATGATTTTCTGATACAAGTTTTACTATTTAACCATAGTTGGGAGAAGAAAAGGTGGATTCATACCTTTCCTTGATGTAACAAACACAACTGGAATTCCAACTCGGCTCTCCAATTTCTCATTTCATTACACTACCTGTACATTCAAGCTCATAACACCTAGTATTCCCCAGCGGTCACTCATCTAAGTACTGACTAGGTTCAATGTTGCTTTGGTGATTGGATGAGAACCAATGTTTCAACGTGATATGGCAGTAAGCCTTTCAGTCAAAGAAGATAATGTTGTGCAACTAGAAATACGTCCATGACTATAAGCAACTTCCAGAGAAGCAAAAAGATTGATTATGAGCCTAATATTCCATCAAGATAATGCAAGATCATGTTTCTTTGATGACCAGGCAAAAATTGTTACAGTTTGTTCATGAAGTTTTTACTTATTTGTTGTATTGCATCTTCAGATTCCCCTTTATTTCAATCTTCAAAGAATTCTCTTAAAGAAAAGAAACTTGAGTACTCTGGAAAATGGCAAAAGGCAGGTAGAGCAAGCAGTTCTTTTCTGAGAATAATGTAAAGTTCAGGGAGGATAAATTATAAGTTGTCTGAAAAATACAGGATAATTGAACATATGTTGGTCAATAAAGTTAAAGATAAAAAAAGTCTTATTTTTACTTAAAAAAATTAACTCTTTGTCAAGCCCATAGTCATAAATAAACTGATATTGATACTGATTTTGTCGCCAATATATGATGAATTACCTGTCAAACTTTCACACGTAGACATTTTAAAAATGATACAGAGTACATACAACATAAATTTGGCATAAGTACTTTATTCTAACAATTTAGTCATAAAAAACAAGATTTGAACTTAATTTGGAACAATGGTAAAAAATGAACAGGAAAACTGTAATGAGAAGAAGACCAAAGAAACTTTTGTAGAAATAGGTTGGTATTATTATGCAAATTATAAATACAAGCTTGACTGCAGCAAATTGTCTGGGTAATTCTAGATGACCAATTCACTTGTTAAAATACATTTTTAAAAGAACTGATACTTGCATACAGTCTGGCAAAAATTCTAATACAGCATTCCCTGATTAGTGTTTGATTATTTCTATAATCATCTCTAGCTAGATGGGAACTTTTAAATTATTGCAGATATGGCACCTCCACTTAATTGTAAATAATACAGAATGTTGAATAGTTTAAGTTAAATTTGTTGAATTTTGTGTAAAATACATAACCAGACAATTATTCCTCAGTTTACAATTGAGTACACTGACAGCAGTATTCTGTTATTTGATTCTGTTGTGCATTATCGATATTTCCCTTGGCTTTGATCTGAATATTAAACAAAAAACATTTTCTACTCTCAGACTTTAAGACCTGGCAAAGAATAAAATTCAGTGCACTACTTGAAGTGGGTATAAGATAGAAGAATTATTTTGGGGGTTAAATCACAAGAAAAATAAGTGATGATACATGAACAGTGGGAATAGTTCAATAAAACTTATAAACACGTTTTTCTTAGAATATTGAATCTTAAAAAAACTTGTATTGTTGCATTTCATTTGCAGATTTGATGTTTGACATGACAATAAAAATATAATCGGGTTATAAAAGGCCGGTATTTTTGGTGTATTAGAGTAGAATTTTTACTAAATTGGTAATCTTAGGAAATATAATTGTATCAGATTTTCAGCATATTATTTTAAAAATGAATAATCAATTTCTTTGATTATAAAAACTATTCAACGAACAGTTTTCCACTTTAAAACAAAAGAACAGAGAATCAAGATCAATATATTTTAACCAAAACAATATAATTGAAAGTTGACTATAATGTTTTCAATTATACTTTTTTGTTCTAAATAATGATTGATTTATAAAACCGATCTTAACACAATACTTTATTTTAAAATAAAACATCGAGATTACAAGTTAAAAGATGCTGACTTTCTTCTTGGAAACAAATGCTAGTCCTTTCTTCTTGGAAACAAAAATACAATTCATTACTCTCTATTCATAACAGCTAAAATAAAAAGAATATCTAGAGCTGTCAACATTTTAATATTATTTTTATATAAACACTATAAGTGAGTAATTTAAAATTAGTATGAAGCTAGTTAGATATATATATTTTTTTTAAATACACGTTGGTATTTCACTACACTACAGCGCACGCTAAGGATTACTGTACACCATCATTTTACTAAGTACATTAGGAACATTTTATAATACAAATTTGACTTTTATATTCTATCCGGAAGAATGTGTAATTCTTCTCTATGAAAATACGGCAATAAACTTACGGGCCTCACTATCAGTATCACTTCCAAAAAGATCCTCCATGGCTACTTTTTATTCGCTCAAGTTCCGCACCGGTGTGACGTCAGAGGAGGGTAACTTCCTGTCGGTGAGTTCGTATTTAGTTAACTTAGTTTATTCGATTTTTTTTTTCTTCTTTTTACCGCCAAAACAAATAAATTATAGTCTATTAGGGTGGCGGTGAATAAAAAAATCTTTCAGGCCTGGAATTTTTAAACTAACTAACTAAATAAAAAAAAAAAAAAAAAAAAAGTGGATGAACTTTTATTATTATAATTATTATGTTAACTGTAAAACTGAATTCACGTGACACAAACAAAGACACATGTATGATGAACAGAAGACTATGAAATATTGAGGCGCAACAAAATCGTGTAGAGGGCGCACATGTCAAAAATTGGAAGAAATCCAGTGACACTCAGAATAAATGTAAACTCCTTACTTAGGCGATATAACCTTACTCATAAAGGTGTCTTAAGAAAAGCCAGAGAAATTTACAAAACGCCCAAAATAAATATAGCAACAACAATTAAAAAAACAATAAAATAAAAAAAAGGGTAATATTACTTCACTTGGAGTTTGGCTTTCCTCAACTTAAACTTAAAAAAAAAAGTATCACATTTTTACTTTATTGTTGAAGCAGCAACTGGATACTAATGTAACGATGGTTGTTCTGTTTCTTCCCTTTCCTGATATGCCGTCCGTAAAATGTAGACAAGTTGTACATCGGAATGTACCTCGGCGGGCACCCTAGTAGCTTCTCTCGACCAAAATGGCGAGTAAAGGTAGTATTTCTCGCCTGATAGCTAAGCATAAGTCAGCTATAATAAACGATTTGGATGTTTTAAAAGTGTTACCCCGACTTGTGCTCAAAGGTGTGTTCACTGCTTCTCAGGAGCATGAGATCTCTACCCTGGCCGATCGCAAGGCCCGTGCTGAATTGTTTTTGGACATCTTATCTGAAAAAGGCGAAACAGCAATGCACGAGTTTTGTGTTGGACTAGAGGATACTGCACCGCATTTATTAACTTCGTTTCTTCTAGACAATAACGGTAAGTTTTAAAATTAAAAAAAGTTTTCACTCTGAAATTTATAAATTATGTTGAGTGCCTTGTTACTCTTTTATTTATTTATTTATTTATTTTTATTTTAGATGACACTTGTTGATATTGTAGTAATAAATTTTACAATTGACCGCTCTGACTAAAAAAAAAACTGTATTTTTATTATTTCTTTTTTTAGTTTTCTCCTGATGAGCAGTTTAAAAACTTAATGATCATTTTTTAGAGATAATTACATTTAAAGTATAAACAATGTTGACATGTGAAGTGTGTGTCCCAAAACTAGCTTTTGTCACCGTATGTTTTTTTTTTTTTTTTTTTTTGAAAGTTTTGAAAATGTTGCCGAGAAAAATAAATTATGCTTGAATATGACAAAGGAAACCAAAATTCCTATTGTTAATCACTTTTATTTAATTTTTAATTATTTCTTTGTAGCTATTTATCCTTTTCAATTATAGATTCATTAATTTTGTTTTCAGTTTTTTAAATTAATTATAGCGTTTCGATGGGTTACTTATTTCAAGATTTGGAAACTTCAGATTTTTTTTCTGAATGTCTGGAAGTTTTCTTCTGTCGATCTTAATAATAAAATAATCACAATGAAAGAAATATAGAATTTCATATACATTTTAATTAATTTGCAAAGCATTCACCAAGTTTGTGTACATAACAAACAAACGTGAGTGTGGTAGAAGATTGAAGAAATAAAATTGCGCCCGAATATTTGAGTTTTACGTTTACTCGAAAGGAACGAAGGAATTTTTGTGCCTGAAAAGCAGCGCGATTAATTTTTTTTTTCTTATGCATATCCGCATTGTTCAATATTTATTTCAATTATCTGTTAGCATTTAGGGACCAAATTTTAAAACTTATTTTTAAAACAATTAGCTTCATGTATTGACAGCAAAAGCATTTTCATCGTCATTTGAATCTTATGATTTCACTGTTGGAGACTTTACTTTTTTAGTCATTTTTGAAGCGGGTCATTTCAGATCGAAACATGTTAAAACATTCACTAAACAAATTAAGACAAATTTTTCACTTCGTTTAAAAACTCAAAAGTTGATGAGAAAATGTGAATTCGATATTGAGTTTCTAGTTAATTTTTTTTTTTTTTTTTAAGCTCTATAATTTCCTTGTTTGCATTTTCTTAAAACTAAAAGTAGTGGCGCGGCATAAGTCATTTCAATCATCCACTCTAAATATCGATTGATTATTTTATGTTAAATAATTTAAATGATCTTTATTTTTAGTAGCAACCTCTTCTTACCCAACTTTTAGCAAACCAGGAATCGTTGTCTTGTAAATAAGTTTAAAAATAAATAATGCTACATCGCGACTGTTGCAACAGTAAGTAACTTCTAAAAATGAAATATAAAAAGTATTGAAGAACAAACATCCTTTTTCATTTGTAAAGCAAATACAATTTGGGGCATCAAAATAAAGATAAAAATAAATGTAATGTATTGTTCTTGAGATTGAGAGAGGAATAAGTGTCACTGCTTGTCTTCCGTCGAGACAATAAGAAATCACACGAAGTGTTACGGTCGGCTTTTTTGTTAACTTTAAAAATAGCTGTTTCTAGTGCATTTTCACTTAAATTAATTTAAGCGTAAGTTGAATACAAATGCTAAATTATTTTTATTTACTGCGTATAGCACTTATTTCTTGAACATAAAACGCATTTCATAGATAGAAATCAGGACCGTCCCATTGTCTTTTCATAATAATATGGATGGCCATTCGGGATGTAATGATTTCCTTGAGTTGTCCAGTCGAAAATATCGGTGATATTATGGAAAAAGATATGTTTATTATTATTATCATCAGTAATATTTGAAAGTAGCAACTTGGTTGTATCCATCTATTTTAAGAATTGATATTCTTATAAGGTCTCATACTCATGGGAAAATGTACCTAAAACTTTTTTTTCCGTCTGATGACACAACTCCTTTCAAAATTATTATTATTATTTCTGTAGTGAGTAAGTAGCAAAGTAGGTGTTAACTGTCATTATGAGCAACTTATTTCAATTTGCTGATGTTTCCATGTTTCACGCACGGTTTTATTCCGCTATTTAAAACTTTTTATCAATTTGACGCTTTCAACTTTCATTTATTTTTTTTCCCGTGTTTAGTTTATTCTTGAAAATTTGTAACTATCACTTCACATAAGTCTCATATATTCTCATCAATTGTTTTTCTTGAAGATAAAAAGTTTAAAAAGTAAACCATCTGAACAGAAGAATGTATTTCCTTCCCCGCTTACTTCACAAAGCGAACAGGCTTCCATAATTCTGAATAATTCCAAGTTCTAAGTACCACTTCAAAATCTGAAAGAGTCACAAGTCAGGGATTTTATTTTAAAGAGACGTTTTTCATTCTTAAAAGCTTCCGTGCGCTTCAATGTTTTATTGAAATTGATGAATTTGGCTTAATTTCGTCTTAAGAATTTTCAAAAAGCCTCTAAAATTAAAGATGTTTTTGTTTTTATTAGTTTTAATATGTGTAAAAACTAAAAGTCTACTGACTATAAAAACAACTCATTTTCCAAGTTTATTTGTCTTACTCTTGTCTTGTGCTTGTCTTAACCTCTTAGTCTTCGTTTGAAACAAGCCTTATTCTTTTCGCTTAGCCTTCTTTTAAGCGAAAAGAATTAGAGGTACTGCCACTATTTTATGTACCTCCACTAAAAGAAAATCAATTACTAAAAAAGTAAGTTATAAGAACGGAGAAAACTGATTTTAATAAACAAATTTAGTTATTATTCTCATCTTGAGTCTTCTTGCTTATGTTAACGATCGTCAAGACTCAAGAAGAATTATCGAAAACTAGAAGTGACTATTATTGTGCTACACATAATTCTATATTTGGTAAAATATTTTGCTTTTTCAAGAAAGTGCATTTTTGGGGTATACTTTTTCTTTCTTTCTATTTTTTAAATTATTGAAGTAATAAACATATTTTTTTTTTCTTTTTGTTACTCAGTAAATTGAGTCATTCTTTGACTCAAAAAAGTATTTTTAATTGCTTTCAATGTGTTAATGAACTCAGTTCAACTGTTAAAAGCTGATTACATTTTTTTTTTTATTTAAGCCTGGAAAACTAAGTAACCGTAATTAAGAATTTTTTTTTTTTTTCATCAATTAGATTTTCTTTTGAGCAAAGAATGAACATATTTTCCTTCTCTCTCTCCTTTCATTTATTGGAAAATATTGGGAACGAAAACAATTTTAAAGGAATAAAAACAGCCAAAAATCGAATAGTATGATTTTTCTCTTCTTTCACTTCACATCATTTCATTTTTTTTATTTTTCACTTGTTCCCCGCCCCGCTATTGTTATTTTTTTTTAACAATTATTTTTCAGCTCTGTGAATATCCGTCAAAAACGAATGAAAATCGATTTTTTTTAAATATCAGAAATTGTGAAAAAAAAACAAAAAAAAACCCCAAAATGATTGGTGGGAAAGTTCAAAAGAAAAATGGCGGGGGGGATTTGTTTCGATATTTTCTTTCTCTTGTTGCTAGTAGTACACTTCAATACTCTTGCTTCTTCTTAGCCTAGGGGACAAGTTTCTTTTATGCGAATCTTGTCCCCCCCTTTTTTTTTTTTTTTTTTTTTTTTTGCTTAATTAATTTTTCTTTCCCTTCCTTTTCTAATTCTTGATCGGTCAATATATATCGTGTTGCCTTCCCATCATAAAACAAACGGATAACTTATTCTTCATAAAACGAAATTGACAGCTGCGTGGTTACACACTATATTGCGGCGTCTTGCAACTGTATCGATTTTTTATCTTTTTTTTTATTAAAGGATCTCAAGCATTCCTTTTTCATCGTTGCTTAGAAAAAGGAATCTTATCTCTGCACAGCCATGCAAGCATCAGCACTAAGCCCTATAATGTTTTTTTTTTTTTTTTGCTTTGTAAAAAGTAAAAAAAAAAAAAACTTTTTTTCAGTACT